CAGTTCTGGCTCTTTGATATCTGTGTACTATATTCCCTCCCTACTGTGATGTTGAAGACTATGAAACTGAGCAAAGGATCTTATGAACAGATTCCCAGTATTTATACATTTAGAATTTTTGAGAAATCCAATTTGAGTCTTTGCAGCATTACCTCCTCTCAAAACATGATTAAAGCCATGTTCATTTTAGCTACTGCAAGAGTGTGGCCATTTTCCACAATCCCCTGAACTTAACCAAGAACATGCATGAATGCGCACTTGTTCTACTCATAAAGCATGTTAGATGGACACTTAATGCCCTTTATGACATCTGAACAATGATGGAAAGGAGTTCAAGAATTTCTTTGGAAAGATCCAGAAGGTCTTGGATGTGTTCATGTTCTTCCTTTATCATTATGGTGCACTCCTGGTCTTGATACTGAGAGTCCACCTCCCATTCCATCCCATGTACATGGGAGCAGAATGAAGACTTTCCTCTGCTCTTCAGATCTTGGTTTAGACCATGAAATTACTGGCCACAAGCTGCCTAAACATTGTGAAAGAGGATCCATTCAGACTGAGCTTACACAGATATGTGGCCTTCCTGGCAAAAGTCCTTAGAATTAAAGTATTAACAAAACAAGATAGGCGCTAATAAAACTCCAGTGGAACTCAGCTGATTTCAAATGAGCTTAACTGACCTGCCTGCAGTCTATTGATTTCTGTTTGTCCTTCCTTGAGTAAAACCAATAAATGTCTGGAAGTTCCCTAAGTAATCTGTTTGAGGTTAAATAGAAAAATGTTAATAAAAAAGAAAGGAATACAAGCATACAAAAGTCAGGAACCATCTTCTTCCATTGTATTGTCTACTTATTGCAAATATTTTTACTGCTTCCCCTCCCAGCTCCATTAAATTTTTGTCTCAGCTTTGTGGTGTTGTACACTAATGGGTACAAGAAAGCAGCAGCATGACATGGTTTCTGTGAAGGTCAAAATTTAGTCTCTGTGAGCCAAAACTTGACCCTTTGGTAATTTATGTTGATAATTTATAGAGCTCTGCCCTCCTGCTAAAGAACATGGTAAGCATACCAGTTCTCTGGGCACTAATATGGAAAGTATGGCTGGACATGGAAGCATACTTTAGTAGCTGCACTGGGAATGTGGGTGAATAACTGTTGCCTTCTGTGCCTTCAGACAACAGATCCTCAGAACTTTTTTGAAAAATAATGATTCAGGCTCTACTCACTCTCCGTCTTCTTTATGTAAATGAGCATAAGCTGGTGTTTTATTAAAGAGCCAGACAGCAAGTTCTGTTTGCAGTTGTCTCATGTACTGATAATTGCACCAAGCTGCAGTCACTGGCAATGTCAAAATTACTTTATAGCTCTTCAGTATTATTTGGTCATCTCTTTAAATCTCACCCTCTGTGATCATTATCTTCAAGAGCCTCTTGTCTCCACGTTTATATTTTTACTCATCAGTGCTGATTACAAGTATCTAATCATGCCACATCCTGCCTGCAGTCACCTTACCCCTGAAGCTAATAGCTCTGTACTTGTACACCACCTCAAACTACAACCAAACAAATGAATTAAACTGCAGCATCAGCCAACAAAGTGGGAAAGTATTTGCAGTTCATCTTTGGGAGAAGTTCACTGTGCTTCAGCAGAGAACCCATCTCCACAGAGTATTGAAAGTAAGATACATAAGGAAAGAGAACAAACTGGAATCCTTCTTCTCTCACATGTGAATAGTTCTGGGTTTTACACTGCACAGTTATTGCTGACTTGCAGCAGATAATCAGCAATAGCTGTCAGAGACATCTCCAACTGGCCACATTGACATCAACAAAGTTACATATTAACACTTCCTGCATCTTGTGCTAAAAGAGCCCGGAATTTGTCTGTTTTGAGAACATGAAGGATGGCTCTTCATTGATCACTGCAAGCAGCAGGGGACTGCATCTATTAGCCAATAGACCTGGTAGGTCAGTTCTTGCTTACCTCTGTGTGAGATGCCACCTTCTCTCTTTCATGTAGGTAAAGCTCTGTATAGCTCAAAGCACTGCTCCATATCATTAAAATAACATCATAGACAAGAATAAAAAGAATGCAGTAATTTCCATTAATTTTAATGTTTTATTGTCAAAGTGTATGAAATACTGAATATCACCAGAGGATACATTAAAAATGAGACACCTGTTCTATTATGAAGCATTCACATTAGAATTAATGGAACATGGACCTTGACAGTATTATTGAATATGTCTTGAAATAAATAAATAAAGCTACCTTGGAAATCCAGTTAGGTCTAAATAACCCATTTAGTAAATGCACTTCCCTTCTTCCAAAAAATTCCTTAGGAGACTGTTGCACTATATTAGGAATGACGAGAAGTACAACACTGACTCTCTTAGCTGCATTGTCCAAGAGAGCAAAGTTTATTATCCTTGATCTTCATTTATAGACAGGTTCAAGAAGGTCCGAGAGCTAAAACTCTCCTTGGTCATTAAAGCAACACATCACCATCACTGGTGGAGTGGAACACCATCCCTTGCCTAAACAACACCTGCAGATTGTTGTCCTTTACCAAGGACTGTTTGGATTCTTTCTTATGCTTTCTCAGGCCAGAGTGAGAACCTTGTGTGACTTAGTTTCACACAGGTTCTGTGCTCCCTGCCTGCTTTCAGCATCCATAGGAGACTCTCTCTTGCTGTAGGCTTGTTTTCACTGGAAAAAAAAGCTTCTCTTGATCTTACATCCCCAAAGGATGAACAATCTCAGCTAATTTACCTCATGATCAAAGGGAAGTAAGTGCCTGTTCAACATTTTTTTAACATGAGATAGTTCATGGTAAGTGCATAGCCAGGAGCAGAAGGAAGATCACACTGTTTAGCAGTTAATACATGTCCAGAACCGAGGCAGCATCTACATCAGAGGACAGCTGGCAGCACTGCCACCCAGGAGAGGAGATAGAGAAAGCTCTGGAGCCAGCTGGAATGCAGAGGTCAAACCTTGCACGGTCCTGCCTTTCATTTCTGTTTATTTCAGCTTTCTCTCTCCTCAAGGATCAAGGAGAACGAAGGGGTGGTTTTCCTCTATGTTGCAAACTCTCCAGTCTATTTTGCATATTCATCCATTAGACCATACAATGGATGAACACTACCACACAACAGAATTATTAATTTGTATGTTTAGCTCCAGAATTATTTAAGGCATCCACACAAAGCTGGATTATTTCTTTCTTTCTTATAACCAATGTAACTATTTTTGGTTACAGCCTAGAAACTACTTAGAAAAGGATTCTCACACTTCTTTATTCTCAGACATAGAAGGAAACCTATCACTAAATAGCTTTTAAGGGTTATTTTGTTGGAGTTCTTAATCAATCCTGTTCCCCCTCCCTTTATTAAAAGTACCCTACCCTGCTATTTCTGACCATAAGCTAGGGCAAAATGCATAGTAGAATTGTCTTACAGAGACTGATGGGAAAACATGAGATTATTTCTTGGTTTTCAATTCAGGAGAGGCATACAATTGGCATTCAGTTCAGGAAGTCTTCCAGATTTGGTTAAACATAACCTGTCTAGCCCCTTGCACATTCAGATACATTTATCATCCACTTTGTCTGATAAACATTCCTACTATGCAGAGGAGCAGCCTCTGGAAACATGAGTTTGCTGCTCATGGGTGACACTAGGAAAAGCACTCCTTAATCTCTGTTTTTGTCCTCTCAACAACACAGCAAGGCATGATCTTATCACACTTATTTCTACAAAACACTTCACATTTTGTAGTACAATGTGTAAAGAACTGTCATCTTCAGTAAGTTCAAAGGAAATGGACCATTTAATGTAAAAAAAGCTGTGAATGGTAAAGGATTGATCTTTAGTCTTGTTGCCCCAGATCCATTTCCAGCTAGTGAGCAAACATTTCAGCAATCTCACCCTCCATTAACAATAATCTCATCTATATCTAATTTCCTTCATTTTGTTCATCAAGCAAAAAATCTCTTACTGAATTATTTAACTGCTGACAATTAATACTCTAACAAAAGGAGTTCTTACATATGATCTTGCTCTGGCTACCAGAAATGCTAGTGGGAGATCTGCTACTCAATTTTGCCTGAGTTGTTTTAAAGCAAGAACTTGAAGACTCTAGCTACAGTAATTATTATAACATACAGAAGATAAATTAGCATTTGCTAAATAGGTTATTAGAAAGATCACATGTTGTCATAGGTAGTAAATAGCTAAACACAGCATGTATAAAAAAGGCTAAAAACCTATTAAATTAGTGGGAACCAGTGGGAGATACAGATAGTTTGAATTTTAAACTAGGTTAGATTTCATCCCACATTGTGAAGAAAAACCTGGGAAATGCTCTTAGTAGTCAATATTTCTATAAGAAATACCAAAGTCACCTTTCATTGCATTGCAATAAGTAGTTATGATGGTGACATCTTACAGTTTTCTCCTTCATCCTTTTGCCTAGAGATACCAAAAAGGGTTAACATACTATGCATATTTTGGTCATTTTACACCATGTACTTACTACAATGTGATTAGTGACCTTCATATATGGCTTGTCAAAATCTCCATTATTGAGATCCATCAGCTAATGAATGTGACCAACTGTGCAGAGGAGCAGATTCACACTTGATTGAATGAAGCAGCACCACATACAAATATAGGGAATTGAAATAAACTGAATTTCTAGAGGAAAAATCAGGGACAAGTTCAGAATTCTGGGACATAAATCCTTGAATGTGATTTGTTAAATCTGTCTACTTTTGTAGGTATGAAGAAGTAGACTCCACTTATCACCGAGTTGTCTTGGCAGTTCATGTAGTTCAGTATTTGTGTTCTTCATCTTTATAAGCTCCTTTTCTTAACAATATCCGGTCAAACCACTGTCTGCATAAAAATCCTAAGCTTACTCTTCAGGAAAAACAGGCTGTAGAGCCGATTGTTGCACGTGTAAAGTACATATATTAAAACCTGGAATATTGTCTAATATATCTCCATTGCTGTTGTTCTGCAAGTACCTTTAGTATCTGCAGGTAATAACTTCTCATGTAGAATTATATTTTTTATAATTATAAAGGGAGTTACTAGGCTCTTTTTAAGATTTTGATAGTAAAAATCTAGAGTGGGATGCATTGTTTTAAGATTTGGTTTAATAAAGAATGGATTTTCTTTCTATTAACTCAATAGCATAATAATAACAACATTGAAACTTCACAAGTATTCCCTATTAATATGATACAAAAATATTAGTTGAAAGAAAATAATTGTGCAATTCTCAGCAACTGCGTGATGCTCATGTAATGTTCCTGTAATGTGACCAAACCAGGAAGATCAAAAGTCATGTAATGATAAACCCAGACAATGATGCATTCAGCTGAAGTTGTATGTTGGAGCTGCTATTGCACTACTCCAGTCACCTCTCTCCCCATTTCTAGTGAGAGTAATGGCTAAACATAAACATTTTAATTTTCTCTGTTCAGTCCTTCTGCACATGGGCTGTGGGTTCCATGTCTGAATGTTTCTTCAGAGTGTCACTGAACTCACTGACCGCCGGTGGCTTCCATAACTAAAGTTCTTGGGATAATTTTTAGTCAGTTTTCCACCATCCTGCCCAGGAGCTGTTTCCCTGCTGGGTACAAGGGGATGATGGCCAGAGAAAGGCCCTGCTGAAGAATCAGTAACAGGAGATTCTTCCTCTGCCCACCTATTATAGAAGTAATAACCTTCCTCATGTGTGCTTCTCCTGAGAGGATCAGAGGCAGAAACTCCCTGATTTTCTGTGTCCCCATGAGACAGGGCTGCTGCTGGATGTAGAAATGGTGACACACATAAATGGCTGATGCTATGGTCAAGGTCATCATTAGATGCAGGTGATGCCACAGGTGCACCTGAAGTAGCTTCTTTTCTTGATCTTAGTTTCTGGATTTCAAGATCCTGTTGCCCCTTAGGAAGTTTATCTGCTTGCTGTGCTTTCAGAATAAGAGATGCTTGGAGGGTTCCTCGTAGAGAAAATATAAAGAACCTGATGAAGAAGGAAGGGAATGGATGTTTTATTAGTGAGCTCATTCCTTAATCTACATCACATATCCCAAATACAGATACTAATTTTCCATTGCTCTACAGACATCTGGTAGACACTTTATATCTGGCAGATGAAAGTTGACACCTGGATCTTAACATAGCATGTTACCGTATATTTAGCTTGACCTGTACAGAGTCAACTATATGTATATATGATCATTTTTTAGTATTTATAACTAAACACTGTTTATAGTTATATATAACTAAATATCATTTGCTGAACAGTAAAGAAAAATAGAAAAAATCTCAAGAGATGCAGTACTTGAAAATATGGAAGTTGTATTTATACTGCTAAAACAGGCTAAAGAAGAGGTCTTAATTTATTAGATAAGAGAAAACCAGAAGTTAAAAACCTCAGCTTTTGGGTTTTTTTCAGAAAGCAGCAACTAAAGTGTCCTACCTGCCCTTTACAGTATAGACAACTTATGTAAATACTGTGTACTGTGAGACAGCGTGCATCCTCTCTCCATGTCATGTCAGCTTTGTGTGAAAATCAAAGTCTATTTCAAACCATCTTTTTATTAGGATTTGACCTTTACATAGGTGGCTTCAACATTTATTTTAAAACAAACATGGGTACTCTGTGAAATTGTATTTAGAAAGGTGCCATCCTCACATCCTGCTGTTTAATGTATGTATAAACAAGAATTACAAGATTAAAAATGCTAACAAGTGATACTCAGTACAGAAAGGGCTTTTAAGGCAATGGATTTCTGAGGCTTGCACAAGCAGAAGTGGATAAAGTTTATTTGCTGTGCCTGTGCTCAGGCTGGTCAATCCCAACACAATCTCAGGTCTGGTCAGGAAGCTCAGAGCATGGGAGAGCCCAAGACTTTCTGTGTAGATCTGCTGTGGATCACAATGTCCTGTTTCTTTCCCCTTAGCTCGTTTTCTGTATCTTTTATGCAAGTTCCAGGTGAAGCAGACAGGTGGACAGAGAAGGGATGGCAAACCCTCTCCCATCCTGTAAACTGCTCTCACTTGCTCCTGCCCTTCCCAGAGTCCTGCAGGGTGTGAGGCCCCATTAGCTGTTGGGTCTCTGCAGGCTGCAAGACTCAGTTACCTCTTGGGTCTCTGCAGGTGTCCTGGCAGAGAAAAATCTGCCTTCCACAGCTGAGAAAATAATCAGGTTCATATGTGGGAAAACTCCAAGAAATACAGTGCCTTCTCTTGCCAATGAATAAGCATGAAATTCAGACCCCTTTCTTCTTCTCAGACTTGAGGGCTTTTGTACTTAATGCTGTGCAGCTTGTGTCCCAAAACAGCGCAGAGGCAGTTTTGAGATGCAGGATGTGCAGCACTGCCAGATGGTGCTTCAGGGAAAGCCTGGACCAGCCAGGGCACAGGCCAAGCCTCCCCCTGAGTGCTGCAGCTCAAACAAAAGGCAGTACTAAGGGGAAGAACCCAGGAGAGCAATTATTTTTAAAAATCCTGTTAGAAGAAAAACAAAACTTCAAGATACCAAGTAAGGAGATAGGGAGCTGGCAGCACAGTGCGATGGACCATGGAATGGAACTTAAAATCTAGTGCTTTTTAGCAAAGGGTGGTTTTACCACTGCTGTGATCTGCTGGCACAGCTCAGTTGTAGTAGAAACAGGTCCTGGATATTCTGCAGATGAAGGACTATGCAGAAAATAGGGTACCTATACAAAGGAACAGCAGTTGTCCAGATTTGAAGATATGAATATATAACCCTTAACCTCAGTAACCTGCTGAGGCAGCAAGGATTTTAACTGTGCTAAATTCCCAAGATGGAGATATGAGTTCTTTAACCACATGTTTGACTGCAGCTCTCAGTAAAAAGCTCAGGTCAAAAATGACACTGTGAATGAGGGCTGATAGGAAAACAAAAGTCATGCAGGAGCAAAACAGACTGGAAAAAGATGCCCTGCCTAGAAGACATGAGACCTTACTGAATTGTGTTCATTCTGATCTGAACTTACATAATATAACATAAAATCACAAGAGCATTTCAACTCAAATGGGAAAATAGTAAGTTTGAAGAAAAACACCATCTATTTTTGAAAAGTTTCTTTTCAGTCAAACATAAGGCTTAAATTCTAATGCCTTAAAGCACTGACAAAATCTGATACTAAAAATATTGTCTTGAATTTTGTAATACCAATGTGCTGCATTTACTTCATGGGAATTAGAAAGGAAAGAAGGGAATTAGAAGGAAACTAGCAAGATAGTAAAAACAATCCATTTCTTTAAATGTCCAAGCAAATAACAAATAAATATTTGAAACTCAACTCAAAACATATCTGCCTTAAGAATTAGTAATGTATTGAACACCAAAAGTAGTAATGTTCCCATATATGTATATGGGAACAGAATAATTTTTAAACCATTTTTTTCAGCAACACATCACCATAATTATCCATCTCCAAATATTATCCAGTCTCAATTAAAATTATCTTTAACATATCTGATTTTTTGCAATACAAGGTGAAACTAAAATTCTGGATGCAATGAATTTTTTTCCATACAGAAATGCTTTTAAATGCAGCTTAGTAATGCACCATAATGTACTTAAAACCAAGAATATATTTAATAAGTCTCAAACTTAGAAATAGAAACTTCTATAGAGATATTTCAAAGATTTGCTTATAGTCTTGATCTGCTCAACAACATTATGGTTATGACAGTGAACAATTAGATCTGTACTGGTAAACTTTGATGCACTTTTCTTTTCAAAAAGAAAGATTTTCCTGATGGGAAAAGCAGAAGATATATAGTTACTGATCTAGGATTATATAACTGAATGAATGAATGGTTCATGAACTGGAAGGTTGAACTCAGGCATTTGATTTCCATGCTGATCAATTATCCCTGTGCAGCATGTGTCTGACACATCACATCATTATTGTTTCTTAACTCACATGCCTACAAACCCCCAAAAGGAAAACTGAGAGGAAAACATTCAAACCTCGGTAAGAGCGCGATGACCGGGGTAATAAGGCACAGTAAATAGAAGATGGGGTCTTTCAGCTGTCTTTCCATAATCCAGTAAGGGTTGGTGGGAGGGTTGCAGAGCAGGCAGGAAGCGTTGTAGATCACTGAGAAGATGAAGTATAAAGCCACACTGCAGATCATTGTCACCAGCTGGAGCATGGTCTGCAAGAACAAGTGATGCCTGAGAGACCCTGACTGGGTGTAAGACAGGAGGAGACAAAGAGGGTTGGAAAGAATGCATCTAATAGTACATTTTACTGAAATTTGCAGTAGGAGAAATAGCCAGAAATTAATTTAGAAAACAGCAATGAATACAGTTCTCCAAGTAACACTTCCTCATATACTGAGGTATGCAAATATTTTGTACTGTTCTGTCCAAAGGATGATAGAAATGATATGATATGATATGATATGATATGATATGATATGATATGATATGATATGATATGATATGATATAATATGATAGAAACAAATTCTTTCACTGTGCACATGAAGGCAATTAACCTGGGGCTAATAAATGCTGATGCTTTGTGAAATCTTAGTGTACCTGTTACTTACTTCTTGTGACCCAGAACTCAAGTAAATTACTCTGAAGGAGAATTCTATGCCTACTCAAGGTGCAACATTCACAAAAGAAAACAGTGCTGTGAACAGGACAGGTCAGACACGTACCCATGTTTTCATTTCTAGAGCCTGGTGCAAGAGAATGGTCAGGAGGGAGATGGTGTTGATGGGGTTTCCAAAGGAAAACACATCTATGTCAGAATCTTTGTATGTCTGCAAAAGAGGCACAGAGACTGTGGTGAACCCTGACTATTCAGAACTGAATATACTACTTCCAAGGAGGACAGGAGTGTGAGAATATGAATAAGCCTATTACTTACCAAATAGGGGACAAAGAAGCAAATGAGGCTTTGATAAAAGGCATCCAACATTGTAATAATAAAAGTTGACAAGTTGTATATCTGCAGGAGTTTATAAATAACAGTCATTATGATGGGATAAATGTCTCTAGCCTGTCCTACAAACATAATTGCTGTCTTTTTTTCTTCCATTCAGACTACTAATTTTTGCTAACTGGTCTCCTTCCATGAGCAAACGCCTCCTGAGCATCTGATTAAACCAAAAATTTATCTCTAAACAGGCATTTCATCTATGTTAAGTAAAGAGAGACCTTAGGAATATTACCAAATGAACCAAGAGTCTTAAAATCTGAATTTTGCCAATGTTGCATCCTTTTGCAAAGGATCATATTCCTCAAATTCTTTACCCAAGATCTTTCTAGAGTTATAAAATTGTTCAAAAATCCTTTCTTCTAGTGAAAGACTCATTTTGTGCCATTTTAATTTGACTATTTGTAATATTTAAACTTATCTGGTGACCTATGGTGTCACAGCTCCCATGGGGCGGAATGAATTACTGGAGAGACAGAAGATTTGGCTCCTGTTGTTTAAATGTTCTAAGTAAGTCTAAACTCTTCCCTCCCTCATTCCTAAACAAAAAAAAAAACTGTGTTCCTTTGGATTATGAAGCAGTTATTTCAGCAATTATGACATACCTCTGAATTTTGTCCAGTCTTGTACAGCTCGGGCAGACGTAGGAGTGTTTCTGCAGAAAGATCTTTATCAAGGGCTCCAAAAAGAAGAGGGGGCACTGAGGTGAAGAAGAGGTTGAAAAAAATCATCTGCCAGTAATCTACCATGGTGCTACCTGAGAAGCCACAGAAGAACTGGTACCAGAAGAGCAGGTTGACGTAGCACTGGGGAGAAGCAAATACAAACATTTATTTCCATCTGTGACGTTTATGTAGGACATTGGTTATTAACCGTCTCCTAAGAGGACAGGATTTTGGTTAAAGGCACTGCACTTCATTCCATAAAGCAATTAAGGGTCTGTTTCACAGTGATCTACTCTGATACAGGTTTTTGAAAGCCATTATGGTTCTTTAAGAACATCAGAGAATAATTAAGTAAACTGTTCATAGGCCTGTGCACCAGATTTTAGAATCCTTTTAGAATCAAGTTGTCTATATGGAATCAAAGGCATGCTGCTCCCTAATGCTACATGGAAGACTAAAGAACAGTAGCATCCTAGTTTGAAGAACTATTTCAGACTGCAAATAAATGGCCTTTGAGTTCTAAAAGAATAACCCATCAAAAATGGAAAGTGCTCATTTCCACTACAAATTTTAACAGTGATAAGAAGTAATCATTATTGAAAATTATTAAAAACTCTACAAAAACCAGATACCTTGGATTTTAAGTAAAAAGCCTTTCATGCTGAGAGTGTATTTTATGTCAAATGGACTTGTTTGCCCAGTTTTGTAGAACTGAATTACTTCATTTTTCCCACTTTATATCATACTTTAATGCATAGCTCATTTGTGTATACATTAAATTTTTAATAAAAATGACAGATATGACTGCATCATTACTTGTAAGTGGTTCCTTACAAAAATTCTGAGGTTTCACAGGCAGGAAATTCTTAGTGCAAACTCATCTACATTTGAGTGCTAAAAATCTGATCTTTCTTATGCAAATTTTATTTTGAGGCTCATGAGTATTATTAATAAAGTTTCTTGTACTACCATAAAAAGTTACTAAGCCTTGAGTCATTTTTCCCTCTGGAATAATGCTGTTTCAAAATATATTTCATGCCTTTATTTTCCTCAATACTCTATGCAGCACCTTGCTAAGAAGGAAGGGGCATACCATAAACTTGCAAAGTGAAGAAACGCAAACTGTAGCTCCATAAAAATAAGAGTATAACCTCCAAAACCCAAAACCAAACAACCCCTCAGACCTGGAATTAACCTTTGCTAGAATGAAAACTTCATAATTTTAATCATCTTACCACATTTTTGTAGAAAAAGTAAATCACCATCTTTGCCAGGCGAGCATAGCACCAATGTCCATGGACAAGAAGGAGCTTTTTGAGATGCTTAAATCGGGATATTGCAAAGTCACTGGCCATCACAGCCTTTGGGAAAAGGAATAGAAGGTCAGTTACAATGCATCCTTTTCACACACTATGTAATAAAATTTTAACATCACCAAAATGATTTACTACTATTGAGGATTGTAGAAAAACAAACCAACAAACTAACCCTCAAGAACACAGTTGGAACTTTCTATCACTGCAGAACTCTCCATTTAAGGAGAATAAGGAGGGGGGATGTGTGGGAAAGGATTCAGAGCAGAAGACAGTGGAAGAGAATCCACAAAACCTGGAAAATGCAGCAGCTGAGAAGATTCAGAAACCAGATGCTCACCTAACAGTGGGCATACATCTTCTAATTTTCCAGTCTCATGAACAAACACAGGTTTGTCCTGACATGCTAATTTTTGGCTCAAAATACTCTTTTTTTTTGGCTTGACCCATAATTAAAAACTGCATATTAACTTATGACTCCAATTTTCATTTTTAAGATGACTCTTGAGAGTGTAGGTCTGCTATGAAACTTATTAAGCCTCAAGGGACTACCTGACAAAAGAGGAAAGAACTGAGAGAATACCTGCATGCCTTCTTGGCCAGATATTCCAATTCCAACATCAGCTGCTTGAATCATACTTACGTCGTTTGCACCATCCCCTAGAGTGGGAGAACAGGAGGGAACAATAACAGTGTAAGAAAGCTATGCTGATTATTTCAAATATTCTGTACTATCATGCATCTTCATCAGGACAGCTGCATGGCATCACGCACAACATCAAGGCCCTGGTCTTGGTCTTGGTCTCCCTCCTTCCCAGGAGACCTGGCTCCAGCAGGGCAAAATCCAACATTGTGACTGACTGGGTGCTGACACAGCAACCCCAACACCATTGACACAAGCATCATTTTGTGTTTCTGCCTGGACAAATCCATATGCTCAGGAACGTGTTTTGCAACACCCTACTTCACTAAATTCTCTGAATCTATGACAAATTTGATTGCAGATGACAATGTAACAAGCCAGTTTCAAAAATTATTTTGCTCATTTCAACTTGCATTTGTAACCAAATTTCTAGGGTTAGAATAGCCATGCTTACTGCTTGCAATGTGGAGATTTTAAATGAGGTTAGCTGGTAAAGTAAATGAAGCAGGAGGCTGAAAGCTTATGGTTTGAACTGTAAGGCAAAGTAATATTCCAAAAATACAATAGATTCTTCCCTTTCTGTTTTGTCCAGAGAGGTGTATTTTTTTAGTTTGGAATAATCAAAATTAATTATTCAAGGATTTTAGTGGCATCACTTACCAAAAGTGTGGAAAAAAACTCAAAGCATTTCACATTATTTGGATGTAAAAGGTAAATGAGTCAGTGCTTAATATCAGTCTGGAGATAATTCTGTTTTCATCAGCTGGGAAAAACTGACAGGAAAAGGTCTTTATGAAAAGATAAAATAGTGGCTAATCTTGAGTGGATTCTAGGCCCAAAACAAGGACATTTGCAGGTAACATGTAAGTGCATTTATACTGATGTGCATGAGACTGCTGGGAGATTCTGAATTTGGAATGCCTTCATCTTGTTTAGAGGGGGACATATTTGCTTAGAGAAAGCTGAAGAAGGACTTTATATGGGTTTTGATTAGGAAAGATTAATCAGCGCTGTTTCCTCACTGCATCTATCTGAGGCACAAACACCTGCCCGTACAATACATTCCACACATTTCTCTTAAAGAAAGAACCTGCTTCCCCTGTGTCCTGTGAGATCCAGAGTGGAGGTACCTATGGACAGGGTCATCACTTTGAGCTGCCTCCGGATGAGCTTGACCACCATGCTCTTCTGCAGAGGAGTGGAGCGGCAGCAGAGCACGGAGCGGCAGTGCTGTGTCAGCTCCAGGAACTTCTCCTCCAGCCCGCCCTGGAAGATGATGTTCAGAGTCTGTCCATCAATCACCAGCCCAAACTCAGGGCTGGGGGCCTCCGAGACTGAGAAGGATGTTGGGATGATGCCAAACAATTTCCTTTGAGGTTTGTCGTACTCATAATTCTTCTTCACCTCTTCCAGGGTTAAATTCAAGAGAGATTCACAAGTTTCCTGTGAGAAAACAGATATGCTTCTAGAAATAGTTATCTCTATCTCTCTTTACAGCACAGCACCTTGCCAAATGTACTTTTGTATAATCATGCCAATGGGTTTAAGCCTACCAGATAAACATTAGAGGAAATATACTGAGAAATGCACTGATTCATCTCAATATGAGATTATTTCAATATGACACTATCCAATCCCTCAGTGAAAACACTACACGTTTTATCAGCCAGTTAACTGAGGTAAGGAATTATTTTATAAGAAAATATAATAATATAATAAAATATAATATTTTTTACATCATTTATTCTGACAATTCAGAAATTAAAAAGAAAATATTTTCTTTTAAGGAGATTGAAAAATCTAGTTCTGATATGAATGATGTGAGATATTGCAGCATTGGCTTCCACGAAAAATAAACTGTGGTAAGAGAAACAAGAGGTCCAGATTAAAAAATTATCCAGTAACTTCCAGAGTTACTGGCCTTTTCTAAGTCACATATCAGGTGTGTGCCACAATTAGGAACAGAAATAAAACTTCATGCTTTCCAGCACCGTGCCTCAAACACAAAGTCCTTCTGTCTTAGCAAATCTGCTTAATGTTGGATCTAGTCACCTTTTAGATACCAACAACCAGAATTGACTTGGTACTAGACAGAAACAGATTTAAGGGGAAAACTCTTACCTCTCTCATCCAGATCTCCTAAATTTGCACATCACTATTAGAGAAAATCTAAAATTATATCTAAGTTATTTTGCTCCTTCTTAGTTCTCAAAGTCCTCTTTCTGTGACATGGCCCTGAATATCTGAGGAGCTAATCACTCCTTTTTCTGACTTTTTTGTCAGCTTTATTGAGGCATGATTCAGTTCTATAATGTTATTTTCATTTTATATAGCATAAGGTACATGTGTAGGATGTTTGCAAGATTTAAATTACACTTAAGTGGGAGGTTCTGGAATCAAATCTACCTCTGACATCTAATAAAAACCTGCATCTAGCCTGCACACTTAAAACCCCTGTTAAAAAAACATCATCTGTGAGCAAACCAAAAACAGTAAATGGAAATTCCTGGTTTGCCTTGACTTGCCTTTTGAAACAAATCCGCCAAGCTACCTAAATTTGTTGCATCTACTTGGAAGAAATTTCATGCTCAGTGTTTGAATAATCTGCTGGGTTCAGGGGTAAGGGGAGGCCCTTCACACTGATGCCACTTTAAGACCTATCTTTGACAAAATTAACAGGTTAAATGCTTTGTGCATATTACTTTTGCTCCTCACTGCTGCTACTGGGAGTCTCTTTCAGAAGTCTGTTTTTAATTTAATTTTGAAAGTGAGGCAACTAAATGTTATTATGGAGAAACTTCAGTGTCCCCTGAATCTTGGGGATTCCCACAAGTCCCCATGTGTATGCAGGTTGCTTCTGAGCCCTGGATCCAGGGCCACAGAGGCTGCCATGGGTAAGCACCCATGCCAGCATTTCCATCAGCCAGGGTGGTCCCACCTGTAGCATCTCTGCTCTGGCAGAACCCAGCTTCTAATTTCCATCCTAAATGTATTAATTCTGCTTCCCATTAAAGCAGATATGTGTTTCAAATGAAATTGCACATTGGAATGTTTTCCCTGCCAAATTCCATATCATCTTTGTGTGTTTCTCTATTTTCATGACATTAAAAAAAGACAGATATTTGCACAGGATATTTTTCTTGTTTGGAGAGCTACAAGCTGCAGACAAAAGCAGTTAGAAAGTAGGCCATCTCACTGCTCCATGCAATTGCCTGCAATAAGGAAAACAGTATTTTAACAATATTTATTGAGCTTTATTGAGAAAAGCAAGTTTATATTAGTAACCCTGGTTCCCTGGGGAGAAAAGCTGAGACAACCCAGATGGGTGACTTTTCTGGTCACACAAGGAAGCCCTGCCTGCCCTCGTGCCAGCCCTTGGAAGAGCTGAACTCACTGTGCCTCTTGTTCCTGCTGAGTGAGGGCCATGAGAGATGATGCAAAAAAGGAGCAGGGAAAAGGCAGCAGCTGCCCCAAAGGCACCTCAGGGGCCTCCAGGGCTCTGTGTGAAGTAAGAGGTCACCAGCAAGAAAATGCAAAAAGTACATTTTGGACCTTTTTGTGTTTAGAGATGGTCAGGCCTGACCTTCCTTAGTGAATGGGTCTGGTTTAACCATAATGCCTGGACCTGGTGTCCCCATAATCCATCCACTAGGCAACCTGTCCCACCTGGGTGCCTGAAGGGGTGATGCTGTGCATAGTGATTGCCAATCCACTTTCTGACATCACGGCATAATTTTCCTAGTACCTTGCTTGTATTGCTCCACATCCAGAAAAAGCCAAGTTGGCTTGCCTAAAGCCTTTTACTTTCACCATCCCTAATGGCATTTACCCTCTTTGGAAGTTAGGACTCTATTTTCTCTCTTCTGTTCAGATGTTGTCTGGAATAGCCATAGTTTGCATCACAGATTTCTCACTGTGTTTTGGTGACTCATGGGAATTGACACACCTGAAGTGATGATCTTTAATTTGGACAATGTTCCTTTTGCCTACAGCCTGCCCTTCTTGCTGCCCATGGAAATGAAAAGAATTTTTTAACACATCAGCAACTGTTTGCCACCATGGAATCTCAAGAAAGTGAATATGTTTATAACTGGCCCCTTAAACAAAGATATACTGGATTAAATTTTTTTGCTAATAAATTTCTGATTAAGGCTAATCCTATCAAGAAGCAATTAGAAAGTTCTGAATTTACTTAAATCTACACCTTCATACTTTTTCTTGGCTGGCTCATACAGCACTTTCCAAATGTCTTCTAACAGATACCACTTAGGGTTAAACTGAAATTTTTATGGTAAGGTGGAAATCCAGATATCCATGTTATTAAGGAATTAGGCACTTAAATTGCATATTAATTTCTTCCTAAAGATACTAATTCAGGTAATACCTAGCCATTCAGGTAATTTTCTAGAAACAATATTTTCATTTGGAAAAATCAGTGTATTCTAATTGAATGAAACTCTACATTAGTATCTTGTATTTCAATTCATCCTGTTACATGCTGTCTATGGAGTTTCTGGCCTAATGCCATTTGGGATTTTTTGACTGTTCTTTGTTGAGTGAGGTCATAAGCAAAGGAATGCCAAACTGCAGGACACAAAGAATGGGTAAGATAGAAAGTTCTGTGCATTTTGTCCTTCTTTACTCACCTTATTTTCAGTGTTAAGGGTGAAGACAGTGTCCCTTTGGTTCAGAAGTTTACAGGAGTATGCAATGTTAACTGCTGTCTCCTGTTTGTCTCCTGTCAACACCCAAATTTTTATCCCAGCTTCTCGGAGAGACACAATAGTGTCAGGTACTCCATCTTGCAGGCGATCTTCAATCCCTGTTGCTCCTGGGCAAACAGGAAAAGAAGAGAAATAATTTTCTTTTACTTTGAAATCAAGTTGCTATTTTCTTGTTTAAAGAAAGCTCTTTGCTTTCCAGTCATGCTCCTGAGCTTATTAAGAATTGAACCAAGGTTTTGTCCAACAAATAAACATGCAGGCACATGATCTGCATTTGGATTAAGGTCTGAATGTGTCAACAATCAAGTTCTGTCTCTTCATTTTGTTCACTGCAACAACAATGCATTTCATTTCTTCCTAATAATACAAAATGACAATGTGCTGACAGAGCAATCACACCATATGCATTTTAAAAATACTGCATTATGTCCCATCAAAGCAATCAGAAAAGATGAACTTTGACTGTCTAAATAAACGCTGTCCCTATTGTCAAGTCAGATGCTTCAGCCATCAAAGCCAGAAGAAACAGTACAGTACATTTTCTTTTTGAACATGCACGAACTTAGAAGCTGATGCCAACACTCAACCTGATGATGTTGGGAAATCACCATAAGAATGTAAAAATACTCCCTATCCCTTCCACTAGAGGTCAGTTTGAAGATGCTGTAACTGTGGTACATTAAAGACAGGTATTGATTTAGGCTAAGGGAACACTTTTTGCAAATTAAAGCATGAAAGCACATAGAGGAGCCTTAGTAATTGACAAAGGTAACAGATTCTGACAAGATCTACATTACCTCTTATGTGGTCTGCTTATGGCATTTATCATTATTACTCTAATTTTTTAAATCACTGCAGAGATTATGAGAAGCAATAATGCAAGCTATTGCTTGCAATATCAGAAATTCAATGAAGTATGAATTCTTCATATTCTTCAGTATGGCACAAATTGTAGTCAGAGAAAAATGAGACTGAGAGAACTCCAAAAATCAAAGTCGTAAAGAACCAAATGTTAGGAAACAAAATAGATCAGAAAGCACTGAAGTGCTCCATAATTTAACAGAATGTTGTTGTTAGATATGATGGTGATGAATGATGCAGAAATGTCAATCAATGTAAGTTTTAATGCTAAACATCTTTTTACAAAGTGCACAAAGCAAGCACAACAATGCAACAACAGCAGGAACTTTGTAGCAAAGCGCCCACATGTTTAAATTACTGGATTACCAAAACCAATTACCAAAATCCCCTTAGAATTCATTATCAAAACTGAAATTAATTTATAGTATTTTATAGGTTTAAATAAGGATATGGATTCACAATTGAATTGTGGGAACTTCATCATCTACTTTGTCACAGTAACAGCTGATGTGCATGTTCTTTGCTCGGGGCACACAATAATTTCAGTACATGTTTTCAGAGTTACTGCTGCCCAAAATGCATGAGAACTTGTATAGACACTGTCATTGGATTTTATCTCCCTAGCCTGGAAATTTCCAAACCACAGAGGAAGTCTTTTAGATATAAATTAGTATAAGCTGTTGTCTGTCTTATTGCCAAGACTATCACAGGAGAGCAAGTGATACTTCACGCAATGACAGTTCTTATTTTTGGCTACCCAGCAGGGTGAGTTTGGTCTCCAGATGCTGTGCTGTCTCTATTAAGAGCTCCTCTCTGTTGTCAATCGCAGCTTCTGCCTCCTGACGAAAATTGGCCCATTTTTGAAAGTCATCTTCATTCAAGACCTGCATAACACAATTTAAACAGCACTTATTTAAAATTTAAATAAGAGAGGAATGCCAACATTCTGGATCACAGAGACTTAACTCCTATCCAAACTGGTAAAGTACTGTGTCATCTTTAAAATAACACAGACTTTTCCAAGAGAAAACTGCAAGAACAAGTAGTTTGTATAAATGACCTACAGCTGAGTCTCAAAAGTCTGACACAGAGAAACTCTTGCTCACACAGCTCTTGCTTAGATGAGAGCACACAGTTTCTGAGGGCTGATCTACATTTCTCCACAGCCTGAATATGATCTATTTGTCACACATTGACAACTTCTGTATTAAATTATGACACTAAGATACACTAACTCAGGCTGAGAGTAAGATTTGTGAAAGCTGAATGCCAAGCAAAAGAAAAGAAGGTTGGCTGCTCTGTAGACTCTTTGTCTTGGACAAAAGTGCTTGGAAGCACTGTAGGGTAGGTCAGCTGTAGTTACTATATGAGAAACAGAAATGTTTTGAGACTGACTAAAAATCCATAATTTGGTCACATTGAGGAAAAAGAGGAAAAAAAATACTCAGACAAGGCAAATAGAGGGAGAAAAGGACGGGCTATATCTGGCTGGTTTTCTGAAGCAGAATTACAGCCACTGTATTTTTCTAGTAACTCTATTGATGTGTACAGAACCTGGTGCTGTCCCACCTTCTTAGCTATGCACAGAGTTCGCAGTCCATCATGGGCATAGTGGTCCAGATGCTTCTGTGTTCTTTCTTTTATTCTTTTCAGTCTCTTCTCTGTGCTAATATCACCTGTGAAACACAGCTCAGATAATTTTTGATACAATGGCCTAAGATTAAAATAGAGCAGGCACTAGAGAAAAGTGGATTCCATTATAATACCAACTTCTTTAAAAGCTCAGAAGTGTTGGCCGTGCAGAAGCTGAAATCTTGCTAAAAATTTATGTTTCCTTTAAGATAACATTACTTGTGTTTTTGTTTGTTAATATTATAGCACTCTTGCTGACAACCTGAAAAACAATGGCCAGGCCCTTATGGCAGTATTATTGCAGAGCATATAATCCACATGGGTTAGTATTACCAGTGAATTTTAATTATCCCATTCCATATTCCAAGCACTTCTGAGGTTAAATAAATACCTCAGTTCTGATCTGCAAGGATAATACTAGACAAAGCTCATTCTTTTTTTATACTTTAGAAGTATAAAAATATAGAAGTATATATAGACATGTATACTATATACTATATAGATATATATACTATATACTATATATATAGATATATATATATAATATATATAGAAGTATAGCTAGATATAATACTTCATGCAAGAAAGACTACTGCAAACTTCTTTTTTAGGAGACACAACAGAAATAGCTCCCTGGCTAATTACCTTTGGCAGAGTTGTCCAGAAGGTCCATTATTACAGAGTCAGCACCTTTTGTGTAGACAATAATCTCCTTGGTTAGAGGGTGTCTCACCACTACAGACATCCTTTTCCTGACTGAGTCAAATCCCAAAGTGTAGAGGATATCAAAGGTCAGGAGTGTGCCCTGTGGCAGCTGCACAGTGACCTGTTTGGGTGTCCGGGACACAAGAATGAAGCTGTAGGCCTGGGCAGCATAGACAAGAGCTGCCTCATCTGGGCTCTCAGCCTCATAACAAAAGTCTGTTGGCAGAGAACTGTTAGTTGCAGACATAAAAACTTCATCCAAGGAAGCAGTACCAATATCTGTGCTGCCCTTGTCCTGGAGTTCCTGGCCTCTACTGCTGTCAGAGCAGTCATTTTCATTGTCACAAGTCTCCAGCACAGCAAGAGGCTCCTCACTGTTCTTTGCACTGAAACTGGCACCAAGGTGTGAACTAGACTGAGATGATGAAAAAGATTGACTAAGGCTTGCTAATTTTAGCCTTTGAAATATCTGATGAATCTTTTCCAGGCTGATTCCTGAAGGTTTTGTTGGTGGTGGTATTGTGATCTAGAAATATGAAAAGAACAAAGGGTAAAAATAAATAAATGTGAACATCAAGAGCCTTCTCAAAACCTCTCTCTACTTTTCTGCATCTAAATTACATTAATAATAACTGCAACTTCCCCTTTTCCCCTCTCCTGCCATTTAACTGTGGTGGAAGGATTCAGTAGAGAAGTCATATATGAGATGGCAGCCAAATGTGATGGTGATTTGCTGAAGTAAATATGTAACGAAGCCCTTGTAGTTCTGTTAATTGCCTGGAAGATTAGAGAAAACCCAGTGTGTTCAACAAACTTCTTACAGCATATATATTACAAAATCTAAAAGAAAAAGTGCAGATTCTGTGGTAGCCTTAGCTATTCATCAAACATAAGAAGACAACCTAGGAAGGGATACACAGGCAGGGAAGCCGTAGATATTACAGAAAATGTAAAGGAACCAGAGGACAAGTCTCAAACAAACTATTTTTCACTACTTCAGTTTTCACTGGACACTGCTCTAGGTTGTTAAATGGAAGCATGATCCATTTTCCTCATGTATTTAAAGTTATATTACCCTTTGTCTTGGCTCAGTAGCTGTGGAGACCAGAACTGTATTGCAAATGGCAAGAGCAAGAAAAAAGTCAGTAAAGGATGTGGAAGTCTTCATATGTATAAAAGGAGAAAAACTTTCAGTCTGAAGGGCAGCTTCTCGCACTCGCCTCAGCAGCCTGCTGTCGGGAATCACATCCTTTTCCTGGAAGAGAAATTACTTAGTGAGGATTATTTTCACTTACCCATGTCTTCAAGGAATAACTTGAATTTAGACCTAGAAAATGCCTTTTGTACTTAACATCCATGGGAAAAAAGATATCTTTCAAAAAGCTGCATAACGATGTAATTAAAAGGAAATGCATCGTCAGAAGGAAGATGATCTCAGAATTTTATTTCTTTTGAGATCTACTAAAAATCAGAAAATTCTATACTGTATCCCTTAACTGCTGACTCCTGAATTAAAGAGCATTCCAGAAGAATATATACTTGGGATCTCCCAGTTCCATGTAGAAGCTGATAGTTATTTCAACAGAGAACATTTTGTGCTTATGGTTTAGTTACAGCAGTATCGCTTTTTGTTTCCACAGCAGTTTCATTTTGCACCCAGAGAGAGAAGTGCTCTCAAAATTTTCTTCTTCAGTTTTTGCTTTAAATAAATAAATACATATTTACTTGTTCCTGAAATGTTTCTGTAATTTTACTACTACTCTGTTTCTAATAAAACCTAAATTTGCAAGCCAAACTATTTAATGTCACTTCCCTACAATTTAATTTGATGTACAGCTATGGGACAATTAATAGAAATTCCACGTTAGCAGAATCTGGTTTGGATTAAATTCAGGGCCATATTTAACAAAGAATTCCAAATTTAAAAGATATCTTCCCATGAGCCAACATTCTTTAAGAGACTGCCAAAGTAATTTAGCTGCTTTCTAGTCCATCTCATCTATTACCCTCACCTCATTCAATCTGGCAGTTTTCCCAAGTTCTGTAAACATGCAACAGAAGTCACCCAAGCACCTTTTTGGCTCTACTGTGCTGAGCTGAATGTTACATTCCACCTCCTGCTTGCTAAAGTGACAAGCAGTTCTTAAATAATCCTAATCATTGCAAATAAATCTACTGCTCATTTTGCAGCTCAACTGAAATACAAAGCTGGAACAAGGCTTTGCACTTTCACTGCTGCAGAAAGCTCGGATTCTTCTGGTTCATTTTAATGCTTTTTTACTTCACATACAGGGACATACATGTTTGCAGTATTGATGCAGTCCTTTCTCTAACAAACAAAAACATGCTAAGGATAAACCTGGTTTTTTTAGTTATCTTCTCAGGTCTCCTAAAAATAATCAGAGGCTGAAAAGTTAAAGCTGCTGATTTTAAGAAAGCATTTCACAATATTACACTACAGTGGTTCTGTGGGTAATGGGACTATGGCAATACTATGCTTTGTACATAGAACAATCCCAAATAGCTTAACAGGACAATTCCAATGAAGAACACATATATGCAGACACAACTGTCCAAACAGTTATGTCAAACAGTTATATTGGGAATTCTATTGACTTTGAAACATGAAAGATTGGAATCTCACCAACACCTTGCACAGTTTGTCATACAATTTCTTCATGCATTGGCAATTAGAATGAACCACAAACACCAAATTATTACATATGTATCTCAGCCTCTCCTATCTGTCATCATCCCACTCAATTTCTTTCTTATCTGTATCCCCAATGTCTGCTGCAAGTTCTTGTCAAGATGGACAATGCACTACTGGGCATTTCACTTCAGCAGCAACTTTCTGAACTCAAAAGTTTCCTCTGGAAAAACTGAAAATTGTCAGGCTAATTGTGGCCTCAGAGACAGGTTTTAAAAACAAAACAATGAAAAAAATCAATACTTATCAGAACAATTTTTCTCATTTTCTTTTTTGCATTAAGTGAAAACAGCACTGACCTGAATTTTCAGCCTGAACATATATTAAAATCCCTAACCAAGCAAAAAAGAAAACTGAATAAAATAGCACTAATGATGATAATCACTTAAATTTGCCACCTGTTCAATGTTAATAATTTTTTTAGTGAAAATGCTGATATAAAATGGATAGTGCCATTCAGTTTTAAGGTTTCCTCATTAACTTTATATTATTTCTTCTACTTGATGGCATGAAAACCTGATGACCATGGGACAATGAAAATCTTCATTAAATGTTTCTAATAGCAAGGCACTACTTATTGGAATAATTAAATCTAGAAAGAAATGTAACGTCACTCTCTTAATTCATAAGAACACCTAAAGGTAGAGAGAGTAAATGTTAATTTTCTACTGTGTTCCATTGTTGAGAGATGGATTTTTTTTACAAACATCTGTCTGCTGACATACACACAGGTCTACAAACACACTCTGTATACCAGGAGTACTCAGGATACTGCAGATTTGTAGTAGAGTAAAAATGCATCAGATGTAAGTTCCAAAGGGGAGGAACCATAGAGACACCAAAAAATTAACTATTCCCATTTTATTAATAGGGAATTGGCTCAGGTGGCAAAGAAGGATACTACTATGTCTCATTTAAAGGTCACACAGGGCAAGCTCTGTGCAATATCTAAATGTCTCTATTTTTACAACATTCAATTGTCATAGGGCATTACAGCAATTTCTCCAGATAGAGTGACACCTATGAGCAGCTAAGACTGTTTATTTCCATATCAGCAGTTTAGTATTCTTCTACAAAAGAGGCATTTGATACTCAGATACTCATTTGTTCCTCAGATATTACTTTACAGTGAATTAAAAAAAATGTTTATTTATAGATGAAAAAGAAAAGGCCTGGCAGTAAAAAATGTAATTGGAAAATATACTGGCAAGAAATTTCTTTATCATCCTTCAATAGTCATGACTTATAACAACACATAAAGAACACTTGTACTTCTCAGAAGTCATGACTCATGGGTTCTCAAGAATCCACAGAGAGGTTCTCAGCAACTCATGAGGTTTGGGCTGGAAAATGCTAGGATAACAACTTACAGAACTCCCATATTCCAAGAACAGTAGAAGTTCTGAGTGGTACTTACTACATGACAGCAGAATTGAATGAGGTGAGTAGGATCTTATAAAAACTGCAGCAAACAAAGTTCTGAGAATTCTGCATTTATTGGCTTTTTTTTTTCTGATTTTGAAAGTGTATGACCTTCTTTTAGCATTCACAAAAGACTTGTCTGAAATGTCTGTTAACAAACTTACAAGAAGAGCAGAACTGTCTGATTTAATTGGGCTGTGTGTGAATTTGGGAAGTTTCAGATCTAAATTGCAACAGAATCTGCTCCCCCCTGACTGCAGCCTGCACACTCCAATCAAGGACTCCAATTTTTGTCTCCCCCTTCCCTTGCTTAGCTCCAACAAGGCTTGGATTTCTCCTCTCTACCTACATCTTTCCATCACAACATGCAATAGCAGGGATAACTTAGAAGGTGTTAGCTCAGTTTGCTGAAACTCACAATGGGGCTGCTGAACGCCACTTGAGACTGGATGCTGTCGCGTCGACCGGCTGACCTGTTCCTTGTGTGCCCTTTGAAACGTGCCCGGTCGCTCTGGCACCTCCTCAAAGGTCTCATGGTATTGTGCTTGAAAGTGGCTGGTCTCTCAGGATTCATGGGGGGAAGAGTGAAACGTTGCAGTTTTGCAAAATCCTCGTCGAAATCCAACTCTTTCTGTATTTTCAGTCGCCTGTCTTTAAAAGAAAAATGAAATCTTACCTCTGATTCTGTTTTTTTGTTTTTGTTTTTTTTTTCATTGTTTGGGAGAAATCCATTGATCAGTTAAAAAACCTAAAACAAACTAAACCAAAGCCAAAACATTTCAAAAGCCATCACCAGAAAAAATTCACTGTTCATAGCAGTTTCTGGCAATTGCCACTGTTATTATTGTAAGAAAATAAAAATGTATTTTCAAAGTGATCAGTCACTTTTATGGGCTTCTCTTAATGTTTTTCTCTTCAGCTGAATTTTGCAGTAGGAACAGGAGAGTGAAATATGGTAATTCAAAAATTTCCTAATGTTTTCAGTCACAGAACACAAACATGTTTTTGGCAGCTGCTTTCCAGCTTAACAGGATCCTTCCCTCTACATAGAGCAGGGAAATAATGATGAAGGGGCCTGAGTCAACACCATTCAGAGCACCAAGTGCCAAGACCCTTCAGATCCAGACTGCAGCCAGGATCCACTCCAGGAAGAGAGTGCCTGTATTTTTCATACCACACAGAAGTGTACATTTCACACAGAAGTGTACATTTACATATTCACAGAAATAATTACTTTTGGACGCACTGAGTTTAAATATTAACTAATATCAGTTTGTGAGCTTATAAAAGGTTGTCTGGTGTTCATTTAGCTTCTACTTTCAATCAGAGGGCTCATGTTTAGGTATTTTATGTTTAGGTATTAATATTTAAATTAATAACATTTAATTGCTCAGACAAAAAAAAAAACAAGTATAAAAATGTGTCTCTCACCATTCTCCTGATGGGAAAACTCAATTCCATCAACAGTACAGCGTCGAAATACCATTTTGTTTTCTGTTAGTGTCCCAGTTTTGTCTGAGAAGATATACTGGATTTGTCCAAGGTCTTCAGTGATAGTGAGGGTACGGCACTGGATGGGCAAATCTGCTTCTTCATCATACAGGTCAATGTCATTGTGAATTAAAAACACTTGGCCCAGTTTGACCAACTCAATTGACACATAAAGAGATATGGGGATTAAAATCTGAAAGAAAATTTAAATTCTCAGTGAGGGTGAGATAAATTTCACTGCTTTCTACCAGTAATGTCCTGGCACAGGTATACTAATGATTTCCAAAGAAATAGTTCTTCCAAAAGTCATAATGTAGGACTGATGAGTAAAAATTCAGGGAAAAATCCTGTGCACAATAGCAGTGGAGAAACGGGGATAAGTAGTGGCAAGCTTAAAACTAAATTCCTAGAGTTCAAAGAATCCTAAATTCTTTGGTGGGTCTTCCAGAGGATGTCCTTAGAAGGCACATTTTCTGGACATAGGATCATGCTTGCTCTTACCTTTCTGAAACTCTGAAAGGATTGACTAGCCCAGACTAACTCTCAGTGCAGGAAAGTTTCACAAACCATTACTTTGCACACAATATTTCCCACCTACAAGCTTCATTGCCCTGAAATAATACTGAATTCTTAAGATGCACAGATATTCTGTTTCAGTAATGAATAATCCCCCAAGGAATCTCTGAACAGTTCTGAAAATTTTATTCAGATTTTGTTCATATTATTCTGTCCACTTAAATCTCAGGGCTGATCTCAAGAAATCTGAAAAGTAAATGTAATTTTTTTCCTCACACAATAAAATATTCTTTCCCAATTAGGCTAAATCACACTCAGATATACAAGCATCCTACTTCTAATTTAGCTTATTTCCTAAACCAGATGAACCATACCTAGTTATTATTCCCCACTGGCAAATTGGAAATTTTTGTTTCACTGTTTTTCTGAGACATTAAGTGGCCTTCTTATTTTGGAATTCTGGATATAGGCAGAAAAAAAAAAAAAAAAAGTTGATATTTGGATGTAAATATCTTCTTTATTGTATCTGCTAGTTATTCTGAGTTTAAAATATTATACATATGTTTCCTATCTATATCCTTGTGGGATTTCAATAGCAAGAAGAAAATCTGCAGTTAAAAAGAAAAAAAAAAAAAGAGAAAAGAAACATTATTTCACTTGGATAATTTGAAACACTCCCAGCAATATTTTTAAATAGGATTAAGAAGGTACGGCACAGCTATTAGTTGATAATGATTATTCATTAGTGATTATACTCAATTTTGAGTAGTTCTTCCTTGGAGGTAACAGAGAGGTTTTTGTCTTTTACCTGCAACAGGATTATCATTGTCAGGAACATGTAGAAACCGGCAAGAACTGGAGACACAAAATTGCCATTCCTATCTGGAACATCATAAGGTGGATGCTCCCAAAAGTTTCCTGTCCAAATGCCATGCCCTGTAGGAATGAGACACGAATTTGTCTATTGCTTTACATGTATTATACCATGGTGGAGAGGAATCTTATCTGAAACATTTATAGCTATGTTTTCTTCATCTGAATTGTTCAAATTTGCCATTTTAACTTGTGGAGGCCAAAGAACCGGCCAACAAGCAGCTTGCTGATCTCCCTTGGAGAACTTACCCATGATCCACAGACCACGCTGTTATGGAGAGCAAAATTTCTCCCCCAGAGACCTTTGCAACCCAATGTTAATCCCTGGTCCACCATTGGTTCTTCCCTTTACTCTCCACCCCTGTGCCTACATCCCATTGGTTACTGGTTTCTCCCTGCCCCTCACCTTCCTGTGTCTATCCTGGTTTTTCCCCAGTTCAGAGAGCATCTGTGCTGGCTCCCTTCACAGAGTGCCCTGCTCTAATAAAGGCTGATTTCTCTGTGGAGAAAGAGCTCCAGCCAGAGCTCCAGTCCTTTCTTCCCTGCTTTGCCTGGGAGAAGCTGCTGCTGAGCTGGATACCGCTCGCCAGGCCAGGAGAGGGACGTGCCTGTGCCTCTGGAAGCCGTCCTTCTCAGGACGCTTCTTCGGGAACATCGCGGCACTCCTGCCATCCCAGCCGCTGCGGCGTTAACTCACCCACTGAAAACACCAGGGAGCATAAGATCCCAACAGCATTCAGCTGTAGATCTCACTCATGTCTGTAACATCAATTTTATTCACCATTTAGAAAAAAAGATTTTTGTCAGTGCTTCATACCTACAGCTCCAACAAGGCACATCACAAACAGGAGTCCCACACATAAGAAAATATCCATATTCATCCGCTGCTCTATCCTGCTGCGCTTGTAACGAGGACCGCTGTTATTTAGCATGGCCTTTGTTTCATGACCTTCAAAACACAAATTAATATTATCATGTTTATGTAATATTTTGTATTTTAGTTTGTTTTTTTAGAAAGTATTCTCTCTCCAAATGAGAGCAGGATGACTAATGCTGACATTCAGAACTTTTCTTGTCCATCTTCCTATTTGACTGAATACATCAGAGTCTAAATCTTGGAGTGTACCAAAAACCCCTTAAAATCTCTTAACCACCAAGCTACACTGAAGGGGAGGGCACTGCTGTTTGCATTTCTGTTCCTCCAACAGTTGTGTGAATCTTATTCCTCACTCTTCTTTTATGTCAGGCATAATGGAATGCTTTATACTGAAATTAAACAAACCAAAGCCCTATAATTCCTCCCAGAAAATCCTCAAGGAAGTGTTGATGAATTTTTTTCAGGATGAAATTGTGATGAGCTTCTTTCCAAATATCTACCATTCCCTTCCACTTCAGGTGATTATCAGGAAAAGGACACTTCTGTAACAAGTTATCACCTTGTAAGGAACAGAAAATCAGAAATATGAGGAATAAACTGCTTGTTCTCTCTGATCCTCACACATTCCTATGCTGTGAATCACAGCACCTCACCTACCACCCCAATGGTACCTTGTCACTCATGGGCTCATCTAAAACTTCTTTCTGGTACTTTGGTATATGAAAAGCATGTAATTCTTACTCCTGTCCCAATCACAATGAGAAAACAACATTGGCTGTCACTCTGTAATGAGACTTTTGTGTTTTAGTACACTATTGCTTTGTGTAGAACAATTTGGGTAGCCATGAAAAGTATAACTATCATCAGGTCAGATGAGAACTCACAGATCAAGCAATCACACTAAGTGGTGGCTGTACTCTTCACAGAGTCTTCCATTAGAAAGAATGTTTGAGGAGTAATAGAGTCATAAAAATGGAAGGTGTGCCATCTTATTATGTGTCTGATCTTGATTGCTCAGAAAAGGTCACAGACCATGATTAAAAGCCAGAGTATAATCAATGTCAAAGAATGCTAGAAATGAAGCTAATACTGACTGAAGCCAGTCTAATTTTAGGAAAAAACCCCAAACTTTTATGCTGACATTAACAGTAGGAACTCAGTTGAAAATTGATTTGAAGACCTACTCATATGAAAACCACCATGTCTTGGGAACAACTTTAGAACTCCAACCTTTGCTATTGCCAGCTTAAGCAACATAAATGGAGATCCATATTAGGATCTGTGCTGGTGGTCAAGGAAAATCTGAACTAAACAGAAGAAAATTAGGAACTGCAACAGGAGAAGGGAAGATAAATTACTCCAATTATATCAGTAATGATCCCTACTGAGATTTTTATACCGTAGCTACTTAAAAAAAAAAGGTTGCTGAGTAAAAAATTGCTCAGGTGTATTTAACCTTCAGCTCTGGCTCTCCTCCTCTGCCTGGTGGGCACCACCCTTGCATGTGGTGTTCACAGATATATGATGGAAGATCTACAAAGGCAAAGCTACCTTGGAAACATGGGACATGTAGAATTCAGTTGTGTAGTAGTGAAATAGACTGTCTGTTGTCAGGTAAATTGTTCTGGGCTGTGGAGATTAATCTAAGCTAAATAACTCTTGTAAAGGTTTGACTTCTCTTTTCTCTTAGGTGGCTGAACCCTTTGCTGCTGATTAGACATAAAACAGTTAATGTAACTCTACTGGAAAGATAATAATAGCTAATGGGATTAATTGTTGTGTTTGAATTGACTTTTATTTAATCTACAAAGAGGAGGGTAGCTGATACACTCTATCTGATGCAGAAGAGAGCACAGCTGTCAAAGACAATGATAAATCATGCTCACTGTGTAAAAGCAGTGGTAACACTCCAAAGGTGAAAGATGCCAAGAAACAAATGAATTAGCCCACTGCTGCATTTGATCTGGGCACCAACAGCATCTTTCTTTGTCCATGTGTCTCCTGCATGGTGTTCATGGTTGCACAGACACACTGTGTCTATGTCAGCACAAACCTGTGCTGCTGCTGCCTTTTCTGTCACCTCCTGCTGCTGCCTTACTGCCTCCTGCATGCTAGCACGGGCACAGACTGAATGGATGAATGAAATTCATAGGTAACTTTTTTTTTTTCTAATTAGATCTTCAGCTGCTCCATTTTCTACACTGAGGAGCCAATGACACCTCCCTTAGGGCAGCTGTGTAGATTTTATGACAGATGGAATTAGTAGTAGAGCCAGAGCTGAGGGTTAAATACACCTGAGCAATTTTTTACTTGTCTGGATATTTTTACAAGATATTTGACATGCACAAGGATCCTGTCACTTGCCAAAGACCCAGTGCAAGACTTGCTGGCTTTGGAGATAGATGAGTAATACCTTCCCTTAAAAGAAAAAGTTATATACTTTTTCTCTGCACTACCAGTTTTTAAAACAAAAATGCCAAATTATGTTGCAGTATTAGACTGTACTTATTTTTTTAAGGATATTTACAGGGAAAATCTCAGTTTACCTAAATAAAAAGTACATCTTACCTGCATATATAACAATCCCTATTGCGGCCTCAGTATTTCTGATTGTACATCCACGAAGCAAGAGGTTTTCAATGTTGAAACCTACCTGTTCATGGTTTGGCTGCTCCCTAGAAGAAATATAATCAAATAGAGCAATTAATTTTTCTGTTCTAGATGGAGTGTTAAAGAAAATTTTTGTGTGCATGTCTGCTTCAAGTTGAAATCAAGTAATTTTGTAGGCCATATTTTGCTTTTATTTCCCTTAGTTTCAAGGAAGACTCCAGCAAAAAGTTAAACAGAAGTCCAAGTCTTTCTTTTAAAGACTGCTTGCACAGTGTGTGTCATGATGCCAATACAAAGCAAGTTTGGCTTTCACTTGGAACCTTATCTGGCATATTCAATATCTTATGAAAGAAACAATCATTTTGCAACTTCTTACAGACAAATTTGTTTTAGAAAGATGAGCAGAGGTTCAGATGAATACATCTACACCCTGCAAAAGCCTCTGTCACTCGGTCAGACATGAAATCTGAACTGAAATCTCGGTTCACTCAAGCAGTCCTCATGCTAAGGAGCTCTTCCTCATTCTCATCCTGGATAGAAGACTTTTCATCCTGGCTAAAGATGCCCCATCACATACCAAAGCCTTCTGCTTGCAGAACAAACTGGTGAAAACCATAAGGTTGGTGCTCCATCAGGCAGGCAGTTTGTTACTTGCCTCTGAAAATTAATGGCCCACACCTACCCCTACCCACAGCTTTTATTTTACACTGGTAGGTTCCTCCTGAGACCTTTGCTAAAGAGCTTCTATTTCAGACACTTTGTCTTGTTTTGTTACGTAAAAGTCAGGGTGGGAAAAGAATTTTTTTTTTCTTAGAATAAGCATCCCTTTCTACTTTCTATTTGGTATCTTGCATTTCATTTACCAGTAAATAGTCTCATCTCTCAAATGAAGGGCAAGGCTAGCTGTTATATCAGAGCTAAGTACAGTCCTGTGTCTAAGTGCAGCTGCATCTGATTACATAATGTAAACTAGATGAGGGAAAAGGTTTAAGTGCCAGCAACCTAAAGCTGGTGGAATTGTAAAAACATAATGCTAGAAATCTGGCCAGAAATTTTTCTTGGAATCTAAATTCAGCCTTGGGGAACTTACTTAACAGAGGTCTTCTTGAATCCCCTTAAACAAAATTTTCAGTGATTGGGCATTTCAGATGGATTTCACTAAGTTACTTATAATTTTTAACAGAGAGTACTCCTGCTATTTTATAGCAAGGCAATAGACCCTCAATAATTTATTAAGGGATCTTGGAGAAAAAGGTAGTCTGCTCCAAGTAATTTGTGTTTACAAAATAACTTAAATTTCAGCAGACCAAAGATAGAGACTCCACTAACTCTTAGCAAGTAATTTTCCCCAGCAAATTCTTTCTTCTGTCCCTGAAGAAGGGAGAGAGAGGCAGCTAATTCCATGTTCCATCAAGTGAGATAATAGGCATTCACAAAAGATATTTCTGCTACAGACTTTCAGTTGAGAATTGAATATTTTGATCCCAGTCCTGGGTCCTAAGGGTGTGTATTTGTGTGTGTTTTCTTGTGACATATCTCCTACGTTTCTATAATCTCAGTGCTCTTTGCTAATTGGAGAGATTGCTTCAATTTAGATTATATTCAGTGGTCCCTGAAGCCAACAGCAACAGCCAGCAATCAATACAAACTTGACCTCTTTTTCCCTTGTAAGATACTGCAGTAGAGAAGAAATGGTATTGCTATTAGAAGCACCATTCTTACAGGACACAACCTCAAAACCAGATTAGACACAGTCAGTGCTAATGGGAGAGAGCTATCTTGCTTACCCTGTCAGAGAGCCATCCAGCTGCAGCTCCTCCAGTACAACACTCTTGCTGCTTCTTGCAGAGCCATTCACTGCTAGTTTAGCTACTGGTAAACTTAGCAAAGGTGGGGCATGGATGCTGGCACATTCATGCAGTTAAATTATTTGCATAATAATGGGCCATGAATTTGGTCTGGGGCAGTAGGTATTTTGGACAGTTCTCTGTTGTGGTGTGGGAATAAGTATGGACTGATGACCACTCCGAAGAGGGCCTTGGGAAAGGCTGCTCTGTGTTGGAGGGTAAGAGAATTTTAAGTCATGAGCCATGATAGAAATTTGCCTTATAATTCATAAATGGGGTTAAATCAGCTGAATTTGCTATTATGCCTGTGCCAGAATTACTTAATGAAGGAAGACAAAAAAGACACCACCCTTACTTTCTATACTAGTCTAGTGCACCTGTTCAATAGCATTTTGCATGCATGTTTGATTTTCCTACCTTTCTAATAAGAAACTCTATATTGTTTATTAGATCTTGGACAGCTTTTCCCCATGGATGTAAATGTTAAGTAACTAGAGCCATGCAGCTGGAATCCTTTAAACAATTGGAAGGATTTATCTAAGATCTAGCTTAGTCTAATCATCAGATCAAATCTAAATGTGCTTATGTCTAAGTTTTGAAGTGAGCTAAAGCTTTCTGAAAATAGTTTGTATGAAACAACTGCAAATGCAATGCCAAGTCTTGCTTCTACCTTGCCACAAAACAGAGTCCAAGTCTACATTTTATATTGACTTCTGAATCTGGGAATAGCTAATAGTGACAACCATAAATTTCCTCAAAATATGTTCCTTCCATCCAATTCCTCCAAGAGTAATATCAAAGTACAGACCCAAAATGTATTTATGGATAACAAGTACTTACATATAACCATTGAATTTATTGAGATCATTGTTTGGAATTTCACAGATGATGGTGTTTTGGAAAAATTCTGGTTCAAACACAGTATCCTACGAGAGAAAACACACCAAGAATGAGTGTCAAATCCAATGAGTATTTGAAATGTTAAACACTAGAAAAGCTTAATTTAGACCACCAGGGCTGGAGCACTTGCCCTAGAAGGAGAAACAAAGACATTTTAGCTCATTCATTCTGAAGCAAAGCTTCGTATTTCCTCCTCTTGGAATAACAACTGTTTAAATTAAATGAAGAAAATGCTGTGTATTGGACAAGATATCACACATGCCAATTAATGAAAACATCTATTTTCATTTAAAGTGAATATAACAAAGATAGTAGATTTAGATTAAGTATTAGGAAGAAATTCTTCCCTTTTAGGGGGGTGAAGCCCTGGCACAGGGCTCTGGACAACCTATGCCAGAGCTTCACACCCCTCAAAGGAAGAATTTGTTTCTAATATCCCATCTAAACCTACTCACTGTCAGTTTGAAGCCATTCCACCTTGTCCTGTCCCCCCATATTCTTGTAAATAGTCTCTCTCCACCTTTCTTGCATCCTAAACTGAAGAACTAACCCCAACTCATATATATTTCCTCCCTGTTTAAAGAGTCACTTTATAGACAGAATTACATCTGAGGGGGTTTTATGCAGTTCATAAATCACAGCACTAAGCAAAGCTCAAAGAACAAGGAAGAAGTTGGCCCACTAAAATCTGTACATGTGATATGACACTGGGGTTTTTTATCCAGTGCACTGTTTATGTAAATACACCACAATACAGGTAGTTTTGTCAGCTCTGACCTTCCTGAGCACTGGATGTCACCATAGCTAGAATTTCATTCCATTTTGTTAATGTGACAGGAGTTCTTAAGTACAGACATTCCTAGGCATACAGTGTGTCTTAATAACAACTCAAAGCCTGAAGAAAATCACCATGAATAGGCAGTCTGGGGCATAATTTCATTGGTATTTTCTGATATAATGGAAGGCTTCCTCACATTACAAACAATTGGAGCAAAAGTTTGCTTTTTGTATTATGGTAGAGCACCCTGTTCTCCTCTGAAAGGAAAAACAGATAGAAAATCTAATGTAAATTAGAACTACATGACAAAAATGCAACATTAAAAAAATGCTAAGTAACCAGTTTACTGTTTTTCTGCTAAATCTCTACATATTAAAATTTCCAATGTTTCTCAGGAACAAAACCTCTCCCTAATTGTCACTGGAGGACACTGGAAAAGGCCTGTGCTGATGTGTTATGACATCCACAATATGAAAAAGCCCTTAATTGTTTTTGCGAAGTGATTTCCATTTGAACAAGAAGCAAATAACACTAGAGTACAGCACCTGATCTCAACTGGCCATGGAAATGGTGTGCTTTTACTTAATGTTGGCTTGCTCCCTGGCAGCTGTGTCCTACACACTAATAACCCCAAAAGATCTTCCTAGTGGCACTGGTACTGATTGCTAAATAAATTAATGTAATTCCTAGAATTGTCTGTGAGGTTTTATTTCCTGTCTGCTGGAGTGATTCCAATGGAACAAAGTTTTCCTCCTCACAAGCTACCATTCCCTAAACTTGTTCTGGGTTATTTGAAAAACTGCCCTGCTGTGTTTTTAAAGATAATTGAAAATGTAACAACTCTCCTTAAGACATATTTTCTAGTTTACTTCAGGTTTATACAACATGAGCCATGCAAATATAGCACTAAAGTGTGAAAAGGAAGCTATACTGTCTATGAAAAAGAAACAGTGATTTTAAGAATTCAAACCTAATCACAAACTGATGTCAAACATATAACTTTTTTTAAAAAATTTAATTTTCCTTGAGTTCCTATTAAACTGCTCAATGTACTCCTACATAGGATTCCATTCTTTAAATTTTTGCAACCCAGGGTGTGGTAGCCAGGCCGGGTCCATTGACCTGGTCCAGGGAGCCATGACCTTCCCAGAGAGAGTGGTCCCACAAAAGACAGCCTTTGGGGGTCTCTGGCAATCTATGGCCACCAGGGAACCTCAGCAAGGGGCACCCTGTAGCTTCAAGTGGTTTCCACCCAGTAATTTTCAGCTCAGCTTGCGAGGTTATCCCGAGCCGACTCAGAGATAGAGAGACAGGAACGTCGTGTGGCAATTCCAGAGATATAACCTTTACTGTCCAGCAGCTCTGTGAAGGGGTGCCAGGGATGGCAGCTCCCTGCTGAAACTGAGCAGAAGCTGGATTTTTGTAGGGGAAGGCCAGGGTTGTACCCGGGGGGAGAGTCAATGGGTTACAGAGGATCAGCACAGTCACCAAAGCATGGTGGGATAGTCACCATGACAAGAGAGGATGGTCCCATCTAAGGGGTATTTCTCCAGGAAAGGGTTGAGATAAGCTTATCACAGCTTCCTCAGGGCACGCTTTTCCATGGGAAAGCTTTGGCAGGCTGACCTGCCTCCACACCAGGGTGCTTTAGCAGCTCCCCATTGAGCTACCACACCTCCACCTGCCCACAAACTGAGTGCAGAATGCCAGCTGCAACAGAGACACAGAATCCATAAGGAAACCCACGGGTGCTTTGGCAGGGGACCATGAGCTTTCTTCCAATTGCCATGCAGAAATAAATCCCTCGGTACAGTGGCTTTGCTGTGGCACAATGTCCATAGCTAGAGACAAATGTACCCTTGGGCTGCTTTTTCAGACTCACCTGGCTGCTGAGCCCCTTCACAACCTGGCGCTGTTTGAGGTTGGTCTCCCCATCGAGGTTAGCAGTTTCCAGGTGGCAGATCCCATTCTGATCAGAGGAGTAGAGCAGCAGGATATCTGCTGGGATGATTTCGTTACACTGCAGCTGCACAAAGTCCCCAACTCTGACATCTTTCCAGCACTTCTCCACGTAAGCATGTTCCTCCCTGTTGCAGTAAAAGTGTATAATGGGTGATGAGTGACATTACAAAGGCAGGACTTCTGGGTTCTGGGGCTTCAAAAACAGAAAATAGGGGATAGGGGCACACTGACCTTTTTTAAAGGACACAGCACAGAAGCTGGAAATTAATGATTCAGACACTTCCACAACACCTCTTTTCACCATACGTCACTTACAAAGTAAATTTTTACATGGAATAAAAAATTTACAGCAGTTCTCTTTTATTCTAGCACTAGTCCTATAATCTACACAGCAAAATATAGAAGGCAGTTCAGACTAACAGAGGTATTTTTGAGTATCTTATTGGAGAAGTTTAGATTATTGTTTTTGACTGTTTCCTAGATACTTTCCAACATCAGCATATAGATCCTGAAAGAAGCAAATTGATACCTCAGCCACACTTGCTTTAGGTCTTTTCAGTTTGTAACTCTCAAGGGGTAGTTACAAATCTTGAGTTTAGTAAAAAGTAACAACTTCAAAAGGTAGAAGAGCTAACAAATGATCTCTTAGTATTAAGCAGGAAAAAAAAAAATACAAACAGTGCCCAAGTTTAATGGAAAAGTCAAAGTGAGAAACAAAGAACTTCTAAATAACAAAAAAATAAAAAAAAAAAAAAAAAAAGGAAAAGGAAAAGAGCCCATGGGGTTCAAGGAAAAGAAATTACCATTCCATCAACAAACTAAGTTCAGCAAATAGCAGACTTTTTTGACACTGCATTTTCAGTAATTAACACTTCAACTGCTCTTAACCATATAAGCAGACCAGAAACTACACAATAAGCTTTAAAATTAGTTAATGGGGAAAATGCAGTGCAACAATGGCTTGTTTCCTCTAACTCCTTGAGAGGAAAGTATTTTTTCAGTATGAATAACTGAATCATCTTATGCCTTTCTCTTTGAAAGGGAAAATGATACTTTACCAGACAGACAATAAAAGTTCTTTTGTAATGACTCAGAGTCTCATTTTTGGTAAAGTTTTTAATCACCCTCATCTATTGCACAGAGAATACTATCTTTCATTGAAGTGTTTATATCATGAGAAGGGGAACAGTGATAGAAGAGATAAAGTGTTTTGCTGCAGTTCAAAGCACACATCCAAGCACTGCTTCACAGCCAGGCCAAATGTCTTTAAAAACACAGCAGGGCTGCTTCCTGATAACCTACTTTCTGCAAAGCAGAGCCAGCCACAGTGCTGCCAGGCAAACCATCACACTTGGCTTGTGCCCTTATCTGCAAAACATCTACTAACAGTTACCTGTACAGGTTATGCAAGAAGTTAAATTCTGCCCATTTCCCCGTGGTACACACTTTTTAGTCAAAAAAAAAAAAAAAAGACCCTCCCAGCCTAATTATCTGAATCCCTTTACTGATGCTTTTGAAGCGCTTACTAAATGATGGGGTTGTAGTAATATCTTTTCATCTTACATGAATTTTTCTTTCCTGAATTTTTCATTCTTTGTATTTTGTCTGACTCTACTTACCTGCATGTCCTTTTTCTTTTGCACAGCAAAAGACATTAAAGACCACACTGAAGAACAGAGGTTTGCTGTAAGTTAATTAGGTGTTGCTATGCATTAAAAAAAACCAAACAACTAGCTAAATTTCTATTTGAAAAGTATTTTAGCAAGCGTATGCTGAGTATTTAATCCTCTACAAAGCAGATACAAAGTTAATATAACAAATGAATTACGTAACTACCAATCCTTTACACGGCAAGCACCCTCTGAACAGGACTTCTTAATTTGTTTGTTTAAAACATGAAAGAAAGAGCACAAGATCAGTTTAGAGGAAATAGATGCCATCCTAGACATTTGGATGCCATTTATAGTTTGCATTTAATGTTTACTGTGGTTTCTGCAGGGCAATCCTACCTCTCTGTACGTCAACTCTTGCACAATTCAGAAGTTTACAGAGCATAATTCTGATTTTGTCCACTCATAAAATGCTATAGAAGGACCTTGTCCAGCTGGCTCTGTTCAACATCAGCTGAAAGAAACCAGATTAGCCCAAATAATCCACAGAAATAATGGATTTGTAATTTTTTTTCAGTAACTCCTTATGAAACCTACATCACACGTAAAGCTTCAGGGCTCTACCCAGTCACTAATTACAGAGGAGACAGTGAGTCAGAAAAGCCAAATGTCTTCTTTCAGACCAGAGGAAAAGCCTTACTCAGCACAGGGACTACAGTTCAGGGATTGCTAGAATCCCAAACCTGCATTCAGGTGAACTGTCACTCTATCCCAACGAGTTTTCAAAGAATGCACATTTTCTGCTCCTGAAGAAAACTCTTCATCTGGACCCGTAAGATTAAAACTTTGCTATAGTACAAAGCTTTTCTATAACTTTGTAGGAAATTGCCAGCGAATGAAAGAAATTTAAGTACTTCAGGATGAAACTGGTGCACCCCATGGCAGCACTCTCCTAGTTGTCTAACAAGATTTTTCAGATGAAACAGTTTATTTTCAGCAATCCCTGTAACTGGGAACACTGCCCATTTTCTGTTCAATTATTAAAGTTAATAGCACAAGCTCTAGTTGCTAAATAAACAGAGGAGTTTAATAAACCCAAGATGATCTGATGAGAAACATACTGTGGTGGTTTCACATTGATTGATGTTTAGGGAAAGAAGTAAGAAACCACCCACAGAAGTGATTTCTCTAAGAGGAGCTATTGGGAGCTTCCCTGTGCCTAGCACAGGCCAATAGCTGGCTAGTTCTGAGAGCTGACAACATTTTGCACCATTTAGAAATTAGATCCACCTCTGTGAGTACCACATTTTAAAAACCACAAGGCTGGAAACTCTCTCCTCTTTGCTTCTGGCCTCACCATCTGCAGGCCTGGCAAGATTGAACCCTTTCACTACACAGATGAGACCTGCAGACCTTGTTCCTCTCTCCAGGGAGACTAAAGGACAGAGTGATGACACATAGAAAGACAACATGAAAACACCAAGGTCAGTGAAGAAAGAGTCAAGCCTTGGATGGAAGGAGAATGAGGAGATATCGAATGGGGCTGAAATATTCTTATTTGAAGAACTAGACGATGTGGTGATTTTCAACTGGCAGGAATCTGGATACTTGATTCTTATAGCATATGGTATCAAGGCTGTGGCACATTGAAGACAAGATGTAAGATAAAAGTTCCTCAGTCCATTTTCTCTTTTGCCAGACAATTCATCAAAAGCACATTCAAAAAGTGTTCCCTTGCTAATAGATATCATGATGATGCCCATCAGAGGATACTACCAATGAAAAGAGGCCTTTTCATCAAAATGACGTCTGCCAGAACTGCTATTGAACTCATCAAATCTGAACAGAAGGCCTGAACTAAACAGATTTTATGAAGTCATTTCTAGGGGAAAAAAAAGGGCCATAAGAGTCCTGCTGCAGTTGGAGATCATGGGGAAACTTGAATAAATTATTGATTTTGTGTCAACAATTTGATTTCACTTTGTTGGATTCAATAATGATAAATTTCAAGCAAAAACTGGATCAAAATGCATGGTGAATGGAGGGGAATAAAAACTATTGCTCTACAATACACAAAAGATTAAATAAAAGTAATTTATCATGTGCACTCCACAGCATGTGTGTCTCCTAGATTTTCTTAGAGAGAGATCTTCAGAAATCTTTGTCATCTAGAAACATTTTATCATTCAATTAGTCCAGTGAATCTTATTCTGTAGAATTACTGCTAGCTCCATCTCAGGATCCTTTGCAGTTCAAAATAAAGATATTGTTTGGTCTGCACTATACCACCCCAAATTTTCACCAGGTCATGGCTCCTAGAAAAAGTTATCAGCGTCATCAATAGAGAAACATACATATTTATATTTTGTTGTATGTAAATTTGCTAGAATGCTGTATTTGGAAATGACCTCCAAGCACCATCTATTTTACACAAAACAACAGTATTCTGGGGTCCTGGTTCTACATGGGGAACAGGTTAAATCACACAGCTGCTTACCCTTGACAGTCTATTTTTGCAAATAAAAATCTTGCACAGTTTTATGCTATCAAAGATTATATCAGCTTTTATATGCAAACCCCTCACAAAATATCTTCAAAGATCACTTCATGTCCATCACCTCACCATTAGGAGCTACTGCCACAAAACAAAAAAAACCTGACAACAAAGGAGCAGATTTAGGACTCAAGCAAGGCACTAGATCAGACAGGAACTGATTCTGAAAACTGTTCATAGGTCAGAGTACAGCACAATTAGCTGATAATGTTCTTGAGCTGCAGATACTGCCTGAGCATGGGCAGGTGCCATAGTGTGCTTGTGGGTTTGTCACTGGCTCCTGCCATGATCCCATCCCACAGTGGGAGGGGGTTTTTGTGTCAGCACATCAGCTCAGCAGCACCAACATCATCCTGCTTTCTACTTTACAAACTCTCAGGTTCACCTTGTGCTGAATGACTTGCATATAATATTTCCAAGTCCAGAGAATGATATTTCCAAGTCCAGAGAAAAATTATTTTCCTTTAAACTCTGAGATCTGATAGTAAGTCAATTCCTGTTTTCAAGCATGTCCCCTACCCTTTTCTTTGTTTTCCTGCAGATGCCCCATACCTCTGTTGGTCACTGCATCACTGGCCAGTCCCAGGCACTACCCCAGACATGGGAGCATCCACAGGAGGTACAATCTCTCCTCTGTTCAGTAATCCAGCTGAACAGAGCATTTGAAGGGGGTTCAGACAGAAGGGCAGCCTTTGCCTTTGCTGCCCAGCTTCCCATAGAAAACATAAAGTACCCTCACCTGTAGTAAAGCAAATCGCCATTGATGTCAAAGAGAAAATTGCAGCACAGAATTACAATACTTCAATCGACTGAAAAATTTTAATTCTTTTTCAAAACAGTGGGTTTAGATTAAACCACTTTCAGTTTTTCAGCTGCTGGCAGTTCTGATTTCATGCAACACAGTTATGAGCACTTTGCTTTTTCCTTCTTTCTATACCACTGCTCTAGGCCTAACCCACATTTAGTGCTGATGCAAAAATCTTTAAATGTTCTAAAACCTTACTCTAAGCAGACAAAGAGTCAGAGTCAGAGAGAAGGCCAGCCTAAATTTTTTGTACCACAGACATCAATGGACTTAGAGAGGAGGAGGAGAAGATTGATGTTTGTAGGAATTACCTGAAAACCACTGAACCTAAAAGCCTTACACAGGCCACAGAAATTACCATGTCTGTGGACAGAGTAATCAGGCTACCTCATTTAGGATGCCTGTTGGCTTACCTACTTCTCCAAAAGGCCCATGAGATGATTCAAGGCATAAAAAGAAGGTCTCTCTGAGTCACTGTCTCAGATATCTGAATTTAGGTTCTTAAAATTAAGAAATATTAATAGCTTAAATAATGTTTTTGTGGCTTCTGCTGTGCCATACTGAGCTGTGCATAGCTCTTACATTTGTATCTTAGTGTCTACTAAAACACTGAGGAAAAAATAGGTTTAATCTTCCAAAAATGTGAAATTGATGCAAAAACCTGTCAGGATGCTATGGAGTATTTCCAGAACTTGATATAACATTTGGGATAATATCACAGCCAAGCTATATAACAATTACATATCAATTAGTTCCTTGAACTTCATAGAACTTCAAAGAAAAATAGCTTTTAGCAATTATTACATTGACATTCACTTTCAGGTTTGTGTACCACATTCTGTGCTGGCCCCTGTTAGTAAGTTAATGACAAACTGAAGAGAGTTTAGAGAAAAATAACCATGGTAGGTTTGGAGGGACTGAGTGACAAGATAGATGAAAAGAACAATCTGTGCCAGTCTTGACTAAATAGTGGGTGTTGCATATAGGTAAAGCCTTATAAAATAAGGGCCTTGTTACATGTGTAAAATCATGGCTCAGGCCTGCTACTATGGCTAAGTAGAAGAGGACTATGGAAAAATGACTCATGTGAATTAGAGGTAGAAAAACAATTAGAGGTAGAAAAACAAGTTCTATAACCATCACGTACTCACATTATGGTGTATGGTGGTTGGTTGAATTGTGTTTGTTATGATTTAAAACTATGTAACTGATAACTGTAACTTCCTAAAAAGGCCTGGTTTTTCCAATGAAGTGCTCCTTTGCACCTGCCTGGGGACTCTGTGTCACTACAGACCCTCATCCACATCTGGGTACAACTAAATGAATATGATAAAAATCACACCTATTTGAAGGTTATAATTAACTCTTATGGATGGAGTCTAACTAATTAGGGTTCCATGAAATCAGGTCACTTGAGAAATTTAAATGCAATTGAAGGGGGATAATAAAGTATAGTATCATAGAAAATGCTTTGGCATTTTGTGGTAATGGAAGTTCACCTTGCTTGGAAAATTTTAAAGTAGACAAAATATATTTTAAAGAACACCATGAGAAAGCAGGCATTTAAACATAGGTCTGTACCATCTGCAATTCAATTTTTGTTCTCTTCTTTGGGTGTGTGTGATTCATTCCAACAGAATAGAAGTTTGTCTATAGAGTATGACTCCAAAAGTTTTGTTTCCAAAACTATAAACTCCTCAATAAAACATCTAGGTTAGTGCATCTTCCCAAAACACTTTAATGCCTTTTAATTGTCTCTCATTTTTTTCAATTAAATATTCTTTAAATACACTACTGGAAGTGTCTTTTCTTTCATTTGACCAGCAGACTATATTCCCATTTCAGCTGATCTCTGTGAAAAGAAAATTAGAATAAATATGTTTACAGGCCAGCCTATTTAATTTTAATTTCCCTTGCTCTGTCCTGAAAGAAAGCAAAGTTACCAGGCATTTCCCCTCGTCTTCAAGAAAGTTCTGGAGAACATTCAGCACCTAGAAATGTTTGGTTTGCCTTTATATTTCTTTTGGAACAGCTGCCAGAGTCCTTATTAAAATCTGAAATAAAGACAACATGCACTCCAAGATTAGCTCTTAAAATCTAAGTAATATTTCATCCAGGATGGAAATCAGTTGTTCTATTAGAAATAACTTTTTGCTGCCACAAGATTAACAAAATTTGCAGTGTCCCAAAAAGACTTTCACCTTTAGTAAAACAATTACCTATTTTCATGATTCCTATGGAAGAAAATTAGAAGACATCATGTCCTTTCATGACTTTGCAGCTAGCAAGAAGAACAAGAAATATCAGCTTCCCAAAGCACCAGAGAAGACTGATTAATATTATTCATAATATAATAAGCCATAGTAACTGATCTGATGGCAATTACCCACATCTGATGGTTATTACCCACAGTTTTTCCAGACAGGGCTGTAGTCTGAAGCCCTTCTCATTTTCCTTTCCCTGAAATCACCTTTTTGGGCCATAAAATTTTGGTGAAAGACAAGATCCTAGACAAGATTGAAATCTTTTTCATGGGATGGAATAACAAATTTTAAGGCAGGCTTGTCTCATGTTTCTGCATAACAATCTTGAATCTGGATCTGAATATATGCCATCATTCCACGGTGGACATTTTTCCCATATACAAAGCAAGTTCTACTGTATTCCCTACTTCTCATGTTGCCATGGTAAAAAGCTTTCAGACCTAAACTGACATGGCTTCTGTGTGTAAAGAGGAAATAAATAAGATCCCTATGTAGATTTATTCATTAGCATCTACTGCCCCTCTTATTCTGTCCTGGTTTTAAAAAATATTAAGAAATAAACAAAAATAAACAAATAATCCATTGCCTCATAGGCTAATGCAACACTGGAAAAGCTAGAACATTCAACCAGACTGAAATTTCAAAGACAGACAGAAGAGGCAGTTTGCCACCCAACCCAAAGAGCTACAATTACTGACATTCTTCACCACGGAAGAGATCTTAAATCCACCATATTTAGAAACTTGTAAAATGCCAGCTCTTTAAAAAAAGTTGGCAAGGAGAGGAGTGCAGGGTTTTTTTTAGGAGAAATCATTATCTATATGTGGACCTAGGTTTAGCCCCTGAACAAGCAAACCTATTGCTTTCCTGTTTAACCAGCAGGACATAAAAATAAGAATCTGAAAACACATGCAGGAGAAACAAACAGAAATGACAGCCCTATGTGATAAAAGCTGGAGTTCTGCAAGATCTTGCTCATTAAAGCACATATTATATAAAGCACCGTGGATTAATTTGAGGGATGACAGGAACATTCAGGGAGATGGAAACTTTTGCACTTCTGAGTCCCAGATGTGATATTTTATCAGGGAGAAGTCATTTGTTGCTTTGTTGAGAGAACAGTTTTGATAAAATAAAACATAATTTTCAATCTTCTGAATGTCCTAAAAGCAAGAAGTCATTAAACCCTTTGAAGAAGTGAGCCCAAGCACATGTAGTTAATTCATTTAGAGGTGACTAAGCCGAGGCATATATTACTATCTTTCATTTCTAGACTGTGTTTTTACAGGTTCATTTTACATACTGCCTAAGAAAGAAAAAATAATTGAAAGCTAGACAACAATGTAGAGCATAAAATAAAATGTAGTTCAAAGGGCGGGTTTTTAAGTAATTTCTTGGCATCTGAGAAAACAAACAAGTCCCATGACAAATCTTGTTCTGTGCTAACTTATATCAATAAAATTAAACCCTTTTGAAAATGTCTTAGAAATTCAGCTGCTTGTAGCTCTTTAAACACCTATTTTCACTGCAATGCAGGTCTAAGAGGCTGATGGATGCACCAATATAATGAAACTCAAACTTAACTTCCCAGTGCAAAAATGCTTAAAAACCCCAAATCTATATATCTATACATTTATATATCTATTTATCTATATCTTTCCCTGTATGAGAACAAATACCAGGTGATATATAGTTGCCATGACTTTTCCCTATTTCACCTAATGACTGTGATTTTTCAGCAATTATTTATTAATTTTTTAAAACAGAAAGCCTCACCATTGATAAAAGATCTTGAGCCAATGTTTTTGGTAATAAAAGCTATAGAAAGCTTACCTGCTGTAAATGTAGCATCCCATATGATTGACTTCTTTGTCTAGTTTATACCGCCGGAAGTCCTCCCAAGCATCTTTAATGGCTGTAATGGCCATTATAACACAAATTGGGATCACAGACACCTCTGGTTGGAAAGCATTCACCACTGGCACAAAATTCAGCAGTGCAATGAACACAAAATAAATATTGGCAAAGCGGTGAAACTGCTCATAGATGTTTTTTGGGAAGAAAGTTAAGATGGTATATTTTGTGGTCTTAACTTCATTGGAGTCATAGTATCTGTTTGGATTGTCCTTCCACTTGTTTCCAAAGGGCAAATTGGAGACGATCACACGTTTATTTTCATTTTTCTTCTTTCTTTTCCTTACTTTTCCTCGCTTCTCCAGCTCCTCATTTTGGATTTCCATGTCTGGAGCACCACTTTGGCAGCAGGTTTCCTTGAAAAAATGTTTTTTCCATATCATTGTAGAGAAGTTGCCTGAAACATTTTTCCTTGACATCTTGTTTTTCTTTCAAAAAGTAGCTTCAAGTTGAAAACCAATGTATTTAGAAGAGTTCAATAGTCCAAATGAACTCCCAAATGGCGGAGAGAAGAGTTAAGACGTCCGAAGCCCAGGGCTGTCTCTTCCACTCCAACCTGCACCTACCCAGGGACAGGAATCATCCTGACTCAGCTGCGCCAGGTCCTGGAGCCTGCTGGGGCGGCTGCACCTCACGTATGCCAAAAGTATCTTGAATGTTTTGTTCTTCCTGTCAGCAGATGCCTGGAGGCCCTGTTTAGACCATTTCCCTGGCAGTAACTCTCTGCTCTCATGAAGTGCCTCTGCTTTAACACAGAGCAGTGGCAAAGCTGAGAACCCACACACGATTTTCACAGGTCACTCCAGGAGTTTAATAATCACTTTATAACCCGGGGAGTTGCCAGGAAGCTCAAAGGTAATGGGCAGAGTTCCGCGTCCCAGATGTCAACAAAAGATTGCTACAAGCCTCAGTACAGACAGTATTGCTCTTTTATTTCCTCTATCTACTGTTTGTTTTCATGACCATAACATGGATTATTATTAAACAAACAGCCAACCCCCATTCCCCCAAGCTAAGTAAACCTCTGATTTTGTAGTCAGAGGAATCATACATAGACATAAGCAAGTAAAGTGCAATGTACCTGGATTGCCCCTCAGCCTGATCCTTCTCCCCAATGGAACCTAAACCTTCCTCTCTCACCCAGATACCCCTTCCCCTTTGATCCTTCTTCCTCTGACATGTAAGTATGTCAGCACAGATAAGGGATAATTTCCAGAAGAGTCAATGACATATATGTAAACCATAGCAATTTTTTTCCCTGTTGCCTGAGCTTAAGGGCAGGTGAAAAAAGGAAAGCACACAAATATTTAAACTTATTTTAAATGAAAACTCGTATTTGCTTCATGATGTAGTGACAAGCACTTAACTAACTTAACTAACTTGTCCAAGTTAGTACTTGGACAAGAAACTCTGATGAAATTGAAATGTTGCAATAAGAATTGCAGTGAAAATACTTCTTCCTTCTGAGTCAGTATTGAGGAAACAGATTCCTGCAGGTGTTGCACCAGCTACAAAGGCAGGCTGGGTTGTATTGATCTCTCTGCTTACTGGAAGTCCTAGAACACTTTTTCATCTCCTGATTGTCATTCACCTTGAATGCAGTTGATCATTAATTTCTGTATTAGTGCTTTTCCTGTGATACATCTGAAAGACATTGTTTCAATTTTCTGTACAGCCCCAGTTTTCTGTTCCAGACTTGAGTAAGTTCCATTTATCCTCCAGATCCTTCTGCTATCAGGAGAGGATGTTGTGTGTGTTGGCAAGCTGCTCTGAAAATTTGGAATGAAAACCTGAATATATCAGCACACACTGTTGTGATATGAAACAAAACCTCAGTGATATTGAGATGATTTAAGTGAGATAAATAAGGCATTTTTAAATGTAGAAAAAATATTTTGAAATGGTTCTTCCAAACTTACAGTATTCTGAAATGTCAGTGAGGGAGTTACTGTAAAATCAGATCAGCAGTTTCTACTACAACTACAACTGCTGCTTTCAATTAGGAAATAAAATAAAAATTTTGGAATAATGGAATTAAGCCTTAGAGGGGACCTGTGTTATTTGAGACCTTCTTGATTTACAGGTAATGTAGAAGTGAAAATATCTTGATAGCGTTCTGTATCTGGGGAACCTGCTTTATCTATAAAAAGCACTTAAGATATCAACAATCAGAGAAAACAGCAGCAACCAGCACCGTGAGGATTCTACAATTCTTACCACAGCTCTCCACAGCTGAGAAAAGTCTTCCATCTTTAAGGATTTAAAAAGTATCAAAGAATTTTGGGCCCAATACATTCTGGGAGCAACAGACTGCAATAAGCCCTCCTAAACATGAATTAAGCATGAGTACAGTAACTCAGCTTGAACAGAGTAACCTCTGGGGTAGACACAATCCTGGCCACCAGCGTAACACTGCAAGGAGCCATCTCACATCCTGGGGAAAGGGAGCACAGAGACACAGATCAGGGATGCAAGTCAAGATTATGGTAGGGCAAAGTGAGGTTACTTGTAGACCCACTGTACTGGAAGCCCATTTAATCGGAAAAGGTTTACTTAGTAAACTGTAAATACACGCTTCCTGCCCAATATCTATGTGTGGGTAGGGTTTTTTGAACAGCTGTCTCTTGTTTTTTCTAAATAAATCACATGAGCAGCATTTTCTGCAGCAGGATGGGGAAATGTTCCCTTGTGCTCTCATCTGCCTATTTAGAAGTCCTTTGAGTTTGTTATTAGAAAAGAAACCAATACCTGTTATCCTGTGTATGCCTGTCTCCAGCTCTCTGAGTGTTCCTGCACACTACTTAATTAGAAGACCATGTTTTTCAAAGTCCAGCAATAGCAGAATTTAGTTGCATTTTAGCCAGAAATGAGGACACCAAAATTAGAGCAATTGTCTGAATAATAATTTTTTTTGTTTGTTCCACTTAATATTCAAAATCAAAGTGAAGTGGCCTCTAAAAGACAATCTAATATTTACAGTGTGTATGATTATAAAGCACTTAGTCTGAAATTATGTTGCAGATGTTCATGGGGGGACTCAGCAATGCTGAAAATTTCCAAAAGGAAGCAGCAAAAAATGAAAATAAACTGGAAACTGACCAGAAGATCCTTTATATGTAAAAACCTTTTATGCATCTATGTTTTTGTCAGAATGTGCTGACTCTGATTTCAGTTCTCCAAATCTGAATATTAAAGTGCCTCAAAGAGAATAGTTATTTATTTATATGGAATAGAAAGAAAAAGCAGAGGCTAAAGAGACTGCCAATTCACTTGGGCACAGCTGCATGTCAATCAAAGATCAAGGGAAAGTTTAATCAAGACCTAATAACGCAGCATTGTTGAAGGAATGGCCAGTGACACCTGGGCTGGTGGCACAGGTGTAAACAACATGTACAAAGCATAAACTTGTTCTGGTTCTCTCCAAAGCAATTATCTTCAGGCATTTTGGAGAGAATGACAGGAAAGTCACTTCACTCCAGGAACACACTCCTGGCAGTCATGCACCACATGGAGAACACCTGGAGACTTGGGAGGACCATGTCAGCTATTGGAGGATGGACACAGGTTAAACTGGACACAGAACTGATCTCCTCTTCCTGTTCACAGGTTTCCTTGGCCTTTAAGACTACCACAAATTTCTATATAAAAATCTGAGAATAGAATGCATACATAATAATATGTACTTGTAAAATGCTCCTTGGAAGCATTAATTCCCTTTTAATAACAGTAGTAAAATTCCTTTCAATCCTATCTCTCCTTCTATACTGCCGTTCCCTCCCAGTCTAGGTTAACTAGGACATACATTTTTGCATTTAAATAAACTAGATATATAAAATAGGATAATATGACAGAAAGTATTTTATAAGACCACAAAAGAGTATAATACAAAAAATTTACTTGTTTGCAGGGTGTTTCTCCCCAGACCCCTGTTAATAAAATCTAAAAGGCCAAAATTTACAGTATGCCAAGTCAAGGCTGGTTTTCCTAGAAAGGTTTCTAACCACCTTATCTTATACATATCTCTGATCTATTTTGCTCCTCCATCTGTCAGGTCACAGAGTTATAACATTAACCTTAGGAAATGTCACTTTATTCCAGAGAAAATGAGTTACTTGACAGGCAGCCAGCTCAGGCAGCAGTGACAGGGGGTGTGGGAGAGGACAGGGGTAGGAGGTAAACACTGATGCACTCACACTGCAAATTACTGCAGCTGCCTAAAACTAGTCCAACTATTCTGGCTCTTTCTAAAGCAAGAAATCAGCAAGAAGTGGCCTACAGGCAATGTTCCATGGAGAAAAAAAGAGCTTATGTTTGTACTGCAAGGTGACTCAAGACAGACCTTTTTCAAGGAAACAGGGATTATTAAGTAATTTTAGAAAACGTCACATTTTATCCCCACAGAAAAATACATAACTCAAGCAAGAGAAATTAACCCTGTCATGTCAGAAACTATGTCTTTTCAGAATATCAGATGCACTGCAGTGAGGCAGCATAAGCAGATACCCAAAAGCACATTAAAAATTTGAGATCTAGAAAAATTTAAAGAAAATTAGTCTGTTTGCTCAGGCTGCATTTAGAGAACATAGTGATGATATGTAAATACCAGAAATAGGAAGCAGAACTAGGTCAGACCTGATGCAGCACTTCTTTGTTATCCAGCAGTATAGTTATTTTATAAAGTTAGGCAAAGCCAAAAAAAATGGTTTGATGGGAAGCAAATGCTCCAAGCCATAACTATTTCAGGCCTAACAGACTGTTATCCGAACAGAGCATCTTCTCAGGCTGGGTACAGATACTTCCTTGTCACAATCTCTGGCAAATTCAAACTTCCTCTCCCAATTTATATTCAAGCTCTATGTTTTGAGTAAAGTTTATCACAAAATCTCTGATAAGGAAGTGAAGTGCAAACATTGGCAGAGTTTTATTTCTGAAAATCTCATATGAAACCTTAAGGTAAAAAGCAAATACATGCCTCTGTCCTTCAGAAAAATCCCTAGGCTTACTTTTTTGTTGCTTTGCAACAAATGACTTGTGCAGTCATTTTTCTGAATGCAAAATAATCATGACAATGAGCAAACAGTTGATTGATCCCAGAAATGAGAGGCAGAATGGAATCCAAGTGATACCAGAAGAGCAACTGTTAAGGCTGAACCCAAAATGAATTTAATAAATCTAATTCCAAACCTGATCTTCACTAGCATCTGGTTGCAACATCTGAGACAATATTATTGCAATATGTGTTGTTAATTACAATTTAACTAATGGAAATGAAGAAATTTTAATTTTGCCTAAGATTGCTCAAGTCTGAAATATGTCCTTATTATATTAGGTCATAGGCTGGAGACAGATTCACAGCTCAAGTCACCCATGATCATGAGACAGATAACAAAGATTTATTATGGCCCACCCCTTTTATAGGGGGTTCAAAATTCCCGCTCTTACACACCTGATTGATTGTGGTTTAGTACGTATTTAAAGAGCAGAACATGAAGTATACAGGCACTCTGATGATTTGTAACCAAGGTTTGTTTGAACAAAAATAACAAACTATTTTTGCTTACCTTTAAAGTATGAGGGTGGCTAATTTCTTTTACAAACTAAAAGACTGCTTTTTCAAAGTACTCAATTAATTCAATTATAATCGTAACCATATGACATTCAAAGCCAAACACAACAAAAAGCATTAGTAACATAAGTGCTCTTTGAGTCTGTTGTATAAATGACTTCACTTCCAGGCTGACTTTTACATACAGTAATTTCCACTGAAATTACATTAG